CAATATACCTAAATACTCATTTTTTTGCTGGTCCGCTTTCCTCCTCTCAAAGAACTTGGATGATATTTAACTATTTACATTTTTTTCTGTTTTTTTCTGCGAGATAAAATATGTCACTGAATATCCCATTCTTGAAATACGTACATATTTTCTGCAATAATCAAAATCTCTTTTTGTCATGTGAGCCGGTGCCATTCTAACTTCCTGGTTAGAACAAACAATGCAATAATATATTAATTCATTAATGCAATTTTCTTTGCTTTATTCATATTGCCACAAACAGGATGATGGGTTGTTGCTGTCATCCAAATAATCAACAAACCTTTTCTGTAAGCATTATAAATCAATATCATATCATGTTTTCTATCAGATTTTAGAATAAGAGATCTCTGGTAGTAGGCAACCAATTAACAAATAAACTGAATATACATTTCAATAAGACTGTAATAAATAGAAGGAAAAGATGTGAATCATATGATATGTCTTCTAATTTCAGCCCTTAAAATATGAACCATCGCCCACTACAACTAAAAACACCAAATAAGGGATTATGTTTTGGAGGAATTTGATTTTTCCACTGGTATCCCTGCCAATGCGTTTGAAGCTTTCCCAGACGCCTTATGTTGGATGTTCCTTTAACGTGTCACCCATCTATTCATTACCTGTCATATTTAAATCCTCTTTCTATCTTACAAAAAAAAATCCTCTATGAAATTTTAATTTTAAAGAAAAGCAAATTCAAGTAATCAACTGCGAATGAAAATCCATAGAGACTCAAATTGGAATGAATCCTAAATCTTGTAGTTCCTGCGGTTTCCCCTTTCATCTAACACAGATATCCCGGAGACAGGGGAAAACAGAGTGTCAGCAAAAAAAACTTGGGGGGGGGGGAGAATGAATATCAAGAGGATACAGCGAGAGTGGCAGGTGTGAGGGAGGGAGAGTAAGAAATAGCAAGACAGCCAGTCTTTGTTTTAAGGGCTGTAGGCAGGATGAATGCAGCACTGTGTGTAAAGCGAAAGCAAAAGGGGAATCAAGTCGAGGATAAGAAGGTAGACACAGAGACGCAGGAACGAATGGGGGGGGGTTGGGGGATAATGGTCTAAATGGATACAGAGAACTGTCTGCCGCATATACACAAGCCAGGACCACATCCCCGAAACAAGCGGGGATGAAACACCGACGTGTAGCGTTGCTTCCAAATGTCTGTCAGCTAAAAGAGAAGAAATATTTCCAGCATCTGTCTGCGCTTCAAGAGACTCTTTCATACCAAACGTTGCTCCCTGTCATACGTTTTCCTTATTTCTACTGCGTGTGAAAGACCAGTCTCCCCTCATCCTAAACCCAGTAAGACTCCGGCACGCTCTCTGTGTGCGAGCACGAGTGTGTGAATATTTCCCACACGCCAACACACACCCAAGCTCTTCAGATCTGAAATGAGGCGTAAAAAGTAAGCGCAGAGGCAGACGGGAGCCTGCAGCTATCTCATGGATGAATGCAACTATTGCATTACAAACACCTTTAATGTCGCTGCGGCGCGTCTTACTTCCAATGCACATCTCTCCTTTTTTTGAAGTTACCAACGCTATTAGTGCTGGTTGCAACTGTGGAGCATGCGACTCCTAAAATTATCCAACCAATGTGTTTTTATTGGAGAAGGCATCCTTTTAGTTGTGAGCAACATCTTAAACTCCCCCCCCCCCAAAAAAATAAAATAAATGAATATTACCAAAGCAAGGTGCCAGAGGTGAAAGAGTCTAGCAGACTGTAATAGGATGTGTGCGAGGCGGGTGACAGCTGTGGAGGCCGGATTAGTGCAAATGCAACACTCCTAGTTCCAGTACACTATTTAAATCTGATCGTCACAGCTGGGTGATCTAATGTGAATTTTACAGCAGATTTCATCTTTGTGTGTTGTTGTCGTTGCTGTTATTTTTTAATTTCCTTCTACTTTCATGTTATTTTTTATTTTTGTAAAAGGCAAACTAGGACATCATTATCATGTTATTTTATGCATGTGTCTTAGGATGAATACATGATGCATAATGAAAGGATGTTTTATCCAGTACATGACACTTTCTTTCAGTCACTGTTGCAAATGATCACAGGCCATACAAAACACGCAGGTCACTGTTCAGTCTCTTTTTAATGGTTATTAGCTGAGGCACAAGCTGAAAGAACTGCTGGCCAGCATAGTGTTTGTTTGCTTTGACTCAAACCCATCTCACTCTTTCTTTTGAAAATACAAACCATTCATAGTCCATCAGAGCCTGCCGGCCTGTAAACCATGTTGTCTCTCTTTTGCACTTAGCTTGTTTGTCCCACAATGCCTGTTGTTGAGTGTGAGGACACGCAAACACTACGTTCTCGCTCGTTGTTATTTTCACGTGACACCGTTACTCTTATATGTCAGTTATACATTTGTAATCTATGAGTGATATTTAGAACTAGATATTTGGCTTGCGCATGTCGTCATGTCTTTATGGACATTCAATATCTTTTGCAGTGTTGTTTCAGTTACGGAGCATCTTTTTTGTATTCATGTTAAACTTCTATACAAAGTATGTGTGTATTTTGCTTGGTAACGTGTGTATTTGTGATCTTTTCAGCGGTAGCTGCTGGCGGTCAGTCCACCGTGTTGCTCCAGAATGAAGTACCTCAATAACCATGATGGATCGCCATCAACTGCTCATGGTCCCCCTAAGGCACATATTGGATAAACCCCACGAGGATCTGGCTCGGCCCCCCGTGGGGAATCACAAAGTACATCAAAACGTACTTAAGAAAGCATTGTTTTCTGTGCAACTCCTCATGCCTGTCGTTCCGTATCACAGTTGGTCTTGTGAGCTCTCCTTTTTCCGCCCACCCTCATCCTCCCTTCCCATTTTGCAGGTTCATTATAATTGCTTGCTGCATGTCTTCTCCTTACGTATATAAACTAAAAAAAAACGCAACAACTTGTGAGCAGGCTTTTTTCCTGTTGCCGGCGCTTCTCTTCTTCGAGCTGCTCCCTCTCCTGCTCCCGCTCTTGCTGTGTTCTTAGACCTGTCTCATTAACACAAAGAACCTTTCCTCTTGCTTTTTGTCCTCTTTCTTTGCAAAAATTGGTGGCATTATCCTCCCATGCAAACTGAGCACTGACACTGTGCTGACAAGCAATGACAGCGACGAGCGCAGCGGGGAGTGAAGAGCTGCTTTGTCTTAATGAGCTGCCAACCTGAGTTCCCCACCTGTGATACCAGTTTTCCCGCTTTCATCTCCCAACTCATCGGACTGACTTCTTCCCGCTGCCTTTGACGGCCTTATCTGTTCTCTTAGGCTCTCTTTTCAAAATCAGGTTACAGTATTTTTTTTTTCTTCAGTTCCGGGCCAGAATTTTTGTTTTAAACGTTCACAAGATAATGAATACAGCGAGAAGAGGTGGCAGTGTTTAATCGTTACGTCGGAGACGTCTATGTGTCATGTTGCCGACACATCAACAGAAATGAGCATGCTAATCAGGTAGCCATAATATAGCCCGACATGAAGATTACGACATAGTAATGTTATTTTGACAGGGTTCTCGGTAGTCTAAGCAGTTTGGTCAAATTGAGCAAGGAGGAGGAGTAGCGGCTGAATTGCTCGACCCTGTTTCATCAGAGCAACACATTGCCCCTTTAAGCAGAACACAGAACAGATGAGTACAGCATCTCTTCAACTTCAGGACATTTTCACAGGTGAGTTTTTTTTTCCATTTGCAGCTACACCTCCGCCACAAACACCCGCCTCCATCTTTTATAATTTGTGTCCAACGTGTGTTAAAGCAGCCTTGGGAAAAGAAAGCGACCTTGTCTCTTTTGGCCTACATGATCAGGATTGTGTCATGGAGAGGGTCCGCTAATGCACACTAATCCTCCAACACAATGACCCCAATCCCTTAAATCTGTCAATAGGGAAGCTGATGCTCCAGATTAGAGATCCGGCTGTAATGATACTGAGGGGCTCCACTCTGGTCTTGTTATTCGAGAGACAAACACACGTCATATATGAAAAGCACCACCAACTGCTTTGTCTCAATGCAGTTTTGACTAAATAATATAACTGGAATTATGTTCAATCATGCTGCGCCCCAGCCACTCGGGACAAACTCTTATTGCAGCTTGCGTGATGAGTATGATTAGCTGAAGTGCCCTTCAAGAAATGTTATGAAGCCGAGTACTTTAAATGGAAAGCTTAGACTATTTCAATGGCGTTTAGTTTACACCGCAGGACGGAGCCGACCTACAGAAAGCGTTTCAGTGGCAAAACACACGTGGAGGTTATTTTGAGACTCTGTGGGGGGTCCTAAGAAACTGTGCAGCTTTTATATCTTCATCGTTTCTGTGTCTGAACATTTAAGCTCTGAATCCTGCGTCGACGATCAGAGATGCCGCGATGCGCCGCAGACACAGGTTTGAATCCCTGAAGCGAGTTTGTTTACGTTTCCTGGTTCTGCTGGACAGATAAATCCACTGGAGAGCATTGAGAGCTTACAAAAAAACGCTGGGGCTGTAGGTAGACTATGGGAGCAAGTTATTAAAATGGCTTCTATCAACTCTAAATCCACCCGATGCTGCTGTGCGAAGCCACAGCCACAGCTGGCAATTCCCAAAGGTGCAGGGCTTCAGATTATCTGGGCTTCTTTTAACTGTTTATGAATCACAGCTCCAAGAATGTCATTTGGAGAACAGGTGTAGCTGTGGTCAACTCGGAGACACAAGAGGGAGAATGAAGGAAAAAGAGACAAATGAGCCGTGAATAATCCTGCAGGAGCCTCCACCGTTGATCAAATACCTGTAATTCTTAGGGGACACCGATACAACGCACAACATGAGAGTCACTTTCTCTGTTCTCATCTTTCTCTTGTCGCTATTATCGGCAGACACATCAAATAGTTTGCCGTCAGGATGGCATTTCACCGAATGATGACATCAGCCTTAAATGACTTTCAACAGTGATTAAACATAATCAAATCCCACTGATTCATAGAAGAGCTTTAGCCTTTAATCCAAACCGTTCACTGTGCTCTCCCGTGAATGACACTGAAACGTTTTGAAGGCTTTAAAAACAACGATTGAATTCAATTCCATTTTAATACATGTATCCATTTGTTCTTTATTAATAGGATCTTTTAGGAAATACACATCACATTTTGGTTAAAAATGAAGAGGCTCTTACATGCAAAAGGCATTGGCATTTTTCATTCACAGCTAAAAAAATCTTACCATTGAATATGTATTTGTCTCTGTCAGGAGAGCAAGATTAGACATTTATACATTTATACAGATAGTATAAGCAGGCCCCAAAGACTAAGGTAAGTTTGTTAAAAAAAAATCTGAAACAATGTCCACATTCAACACAGCAGACTGTATTTGCATAACTTGCATTTGATTTGAATAAATATCCAATGATGTCTGCAGTGAAAAACTGCTCCGAATAACCTGATAAATGTTGCACATTCTCTGACAAATTGCACAGACTCTTCAGGTATTCTCTGGAGGAATCTGAGAAAAAAGTACAAAAGGCTGGAAAAGAATATAATTAAAAGAGTGATTCCTTAGCGTACTACGTTTAGCTCGACTGATAGAAATATCTGGAACAGTTTCTACAGGGCAACAATTGCAGAAAGGACATGAAAATCCACTTGTTTTGAGTGAAAAATGTAGAAATAAGTAATATTTTAGATCTATTTGTATTTACAGAACAGATTTAGAGAGCACATATTTTTCAGATACAAGAATATTTCATTTTTAAAGGATAAAATAAAGCTTTGAATCTTTTATGTTGCTCTTCATGGGTACACAATTACGTAATGTATCTACAGGCTGAGCACATAGTTTAATATAAAATGTCCTTTATCTAATCTCAATAAATACGGCCTCTAAAGTCATCTTTTACCCTAAAAACAAAAGCCCGCTTCTTTTCTTTCAATCTACACCAGAACTTGCTGTGCATGTCACTTTATGCATGTCACTCAATCATTCTCTCACACACACACACACACACACACACAGTCAGAAACATCTCAACACACTCACTGGGGCTCTGCTAGAGGTTTGACTACAGGCCACGGCATGTCAGGTAAAGGTGACTGGGGCTTCGCGGGGGTCTGGTGCTGCAGTGTCTGCTGGTGCGCCCAGTTTAAGTCCACCCCGTTCTTCTTCAGCGCAGCCAAGTGCTTGATGTCCAGCGTGGTGAAGGTGGTGAACTGGACCTGGTTCCTCTTGCTGGTGGGGGAATGCAGAGGTTCGCTGTGCTGTGGTCTGGCCAGCAAGGTGGCCGAGCGGCTCGCCATGGGGCTCATCGCCGCTCCCTGAAAATGCTGCTGCTGGGAGCTGTTCCTGCTGCGGCCCAGGGTGGCAGTCCTTTCGGGGGCGGCGGGGGCGCTCACGGTGGGCAGGGTGCACTCCATGCCGCCTCGGCCGGCCGAGTCCACGGAGTGGTGCGACTCCGCCGGGCGGTGAGCCTCGCGTTTGAGCGTGGACACCTGAGCGGGGGCGCCCGGGGCCGACGTGCCCTCGCTGTTGCTTTCCAGCCACACCCAGTCGTGCTTGTGGTCCTTCGGGTCCCCCGCAGGGGACGGGCCCGCCTGTATCGGCGTCTTTTTACCCCGGAAACAGAGTTTATTCGACGCGCATTTCAGCAAAACAGCCAAGATGGCTACACAGGTGACCCCGACCACGGCATAAGTGCCGATTTCCACGTCCGACATGGCTCTGAATGTCGCAACGAGGTCGTCTCCACTTTCGGAGGCTTAGATTTAGGCGGCTCCTTTCTTCGGTGTCGCTTCTGCTTCGGGAACGTCTTTGTTAGAAGGCGAATCGGGGCTGTCGAGCATGTTTCTATAACCTCTTTTCTGACCTTCCCTTTTATTAATCGAACCCACTGTGGTAACTTTAGGTGTGGCGGCGCTCAGTGGCGTGTTCAGCCTGGGTGGGGCGGCAGTCATGGGAAGGTCAGTAGACGGGTTTCTTCTTGTAGGTCTGGTCGTGGTTCCAAATCCCACGGCGTCCGGCCTCAAAGGCTTTTTTGTCAGCGCGGTACCTGCCGGTCTTAAGGACCATTTATCCACATCCACGAGGGCGCGCTGTGTCGTTCTGGGCCCTCCCACCAATTCCGACGCGCCGCCGTCAAAATCTTTACCTCCATCGGCGCCGACCTTATTGCCGCCGCGCTCCCCTGCTACGACCCTGCCGCTGCTCCGGAAGTTGACCCGGACGAGCCCCGTGCCCACTGCCAACTTGCTCTTCCTCTTGGACTTCTGGCATTCCTCGCAGATCCTCATCTCCACCCTCACCAGCGCCCCCTGGCCTCGGCCTTCGCCTTGCGCGACCAAAAACGTGGAGAGCGGCGTGCGGCGTACCGTGGCCACGCCCTCGTCTGGGGTGGAGACCGTCAGGGAGTAGGTGGTGCGGTCAAACAGCTCCAGTGGAACCACTGTGCCGTCGCTGAACTGAACCCAACAGCTGACCACCGCCTCCTGAAAGTGTGAAAGAAAGAACCTTGGAACCAATGAAGAAAAGAACTTTATAACACAGAGAATCAGTATTCTCCCCTTCGCCTGCAGCGAGAGCTGTATTCCCATGGTTGTTAATAGCACTAAATTGGCTATGCTAATCTCTTAATGATTACACTCAGTAGGGTGCTATTGTTCCATAGATTATAGTGCTATGAAGTTAGCGTCTGAAATATAATTTAACCCAGACGAATAGAGAGGGTGTAATGGAAGTCCTTTGAACGAGAACAAGAAAAGGTTTGGCGACAAGGGTCACGTTAAGAGCCAATCCAATCACATTATTACGCAATGACCTATTTCCTGCTGCTAATGTGAGCCACTGGGTCGCCACAGACCTAACCTATATTTTGGATTTGAATACATTACGAATGGCCTTGAGCGGAGCACTAACAGCTTGTCATCACAGACATAGTTGACTGGTCACTTGTCCTGGCCTGGTTCCAATAGTTTGTAATTGATAGGCCCAGACCAGCCGCGAGGGCAGAGAACCGTAGGTAAAGACTCTCTCACGCCGCACGGTGAACACACAGACGACAGCCGTGTATATGTGAATATGTATCAAGTTCACAAAGAAAAAAAACTAATATTATTACACCCTTGAATGGACTGTTGTGTGAGTCTGCTCTCAGGTGGCAGTTCTGGTTGAATGTGTAAATATCCATTGTATCTTGGGGAAGCAAACATTTAGGAGTTGTGAATAGCATATTACTCATATAAGTCTAAAGGGTCATCTGAAGCCCCGTGGTGTTCATTCCGCGTAGTGGTTACCGGCTAAAAAAATGTAAAATGTTGAAAGCTTTCTTGTTGCAAGAGACATGGATCTGACAGCGCTATCACATTCACATGTTTCAAAATATAATGAATAAAACTGTTGCTTTAATACACAATTTCCCCAACAAAGCTTTGGATTTCTAAAAGAATATTAATGGTGTACCAAATGTAATAGTACATCCTCCCCAAGGCGCAGTGCAGAGTTTCTCTTGGTCCAAAGATAAAAAAAGATGCATTTTCCTGAAGATAATCTCAATTACAAGGCAGGACTCCATATTTTATATACTGTATTACACCAACAGAGATAAGTAACTATCTCCAACTTCAGATGCCAAAATGGGCTTTTAAGTGACAACATTTCTTTCACTTTTCTTTCACTTCACCTTAATTCAGCGTTGCCACATTTCTCTCGCAACCAACTTCTTTGTCCCGTCCTGCATCCAGATATTATTTCCTGTCACCAAATGTAGAGCTTTTAATTCTCTTTTAATTTTCTTTTAATGCTCTCACTTATCTATTCAGAACGTTTGTTTCCTTTGCGTAATCAACTCTTAATAGTAAAATGAGCCATTGAACGTAGAAATTCTGCCTTAACAGACTTGACAAATATTTGACAAATATCAGCAGCGCTATTATTTTGTCCTAAATTCAATATCTAAACACTGTGATTGAATTTACAAGCTTTGATTTGCATGCAGGAAAATAAAAGTGCAGCAACACAAGTCTGTTTTAATCTGCGAACAGTGCAAGTAGCATGTTGATGTTAGAACGCAGTTCTATGGGGGTGTTGATGTTGTTAATGCTGTTGCTTTATTTTACACGCGTCTGTGACCATTTCCATGCTGCTAATGAAACTGCCAATGGGGCTTGCATGTTTAATGCAAGAGAGCAAGAAAATTGGTATGTTTTAAGATTGAGGAAGAAAAAAGCTTTTTTTTTTAATCTAAATAATTACACTAGCAATGCAGTCAAAACACACAATAGGATGTAACCTTTAGATATTTAATCACAGCTGTACTAATCTGAATTCCGTGTTTGTGTTTCTGCTTTTATGTATGCATTCCCTAACACAAAGCAATGTCTATGAAGATTTCAGAAGATGTCAGTTACAAAGAGAGAGAGAGTTGGTAATTAAAAGAGTAAAATGTTCTGCATTACACGACAAATCCAGAAATCTATTCTCACCATTTCAACTAAATAAAAGGTTTTTCACGATTCACTCTTACCCACCAAAAACTCCTTAACACAGTATTATAATTGCATGTCGAATTCACAATTTATTGTTGAATTTCCTTTTTTGCCATCGGATTTTCACACCGACGGTCCTTCACATTTATGTGGCGAGGCTGAAAAATTAGTAACTGTAAAACCGAAAAGAGACGAGTGTGCTCTCAAACAGCTGCGCTCTGCCCTGCACCTTAATGCTTTGTGTTTCACAATTTGCCAGTTACTTACCTGTTTGAGCTGCGTGATTGTCTCCCTGGTGGTTGCCGTGGCAACGATGGCCCCGCTGCTCCCCGGGCTGAGCTGCAGGGACAGAGAGAGTCCAGAAACCAAGTGCACCCCCAGCTGCGTCACGCTCACTTTATCATCCACCACCCTGATGCTCCTCTCTGCCAGGACCGATGACGTCACTGGGGACAGCACCTGCAACGGGGCCGGAAAACTCATCCAGACTGCAGTCGGAGATATAGATGATCATCACGCACTGCACCTGCTCAAGCACACGCACACACATGAGCCACGGTCTCACCTGTACGGTAGTAGCGCCCACAGCCCGTCCCTGCAGCACCGCCCCATCCTGCACTCTGGCTACATCCGGATCTGCCACTTTCAGAGAGGACCGAACAAGTTTGGTCACATCCACCTGTCAATCAAAAGAGGAGAAAAAAAACATAATACACAAAGCTGCTGACATAATGTATTATGTCATTTTTGGAAGAAGAACCTTTGGTCCATTGTCTGACAAGTCTAGCAAAGACTGGATGACTGGACTACCTGCCAGTCTGGACCCAGGAAGTACTCAGCAGTCGCGTCCCCTGTGAGCGGGTCAGGTGGCGCCTCATCGTCGGCCCGGGCTATGAACGGCGTTAGCACCCTGAGTGTAGAGTGCTGGTACTGCAGCATGCAACCCCTTCCCTTCCTCATCTCCTCCTCTTCCTCGCTGTCCCATGTTGACCTGACACACGGATACAATCACACACACACATGTTAGCTTAGCGTAGAGACTTGAAATCAGGGGCCAAAGCGAACCTGGTTCTGTCCCGCGCTTACAGAATTTGACGACAATCACCTCTAAAGCGAAGAAGTTAACATGTTGTATATTCATGTTAACAACAACAACAAAAAGCCCAGGTTTATTATTAGATTGGAGCTAAACCCCTGCTGACTGTACCTTCATATGGTGCATGAAAGTAGTACCGATATTCTTCAAAAGAGCAAATACTGCATGTACTTTTTCCAACTATTCCTTTCACAACAAAACTATGAAGATTATTGATAGATAATCTTTCTTTAATCATTGACGAAATGACTGAAAGACTGAATAATTGACTTAAATGCACTGAGAAAACTGCAAATGTTGATGAAATGACTCCAAAATCATGCAGTTTGTCTGCGTTATGTACTTCTAAATGGTGATTTTAGTTAAGATAAGATAATTCAGGAACAACACCGGAGATCAGCAGCGCGGTTGTTGATGCCTTTGAGGCACAAAACATTTGCAGAGTGACCTTTACTTCTAAATGAATTTAAGTTGAATTTACCAGGATCCCACGGCGGACTGGTTTGTTTGTGGGTGATAGAGGTTAAGCTGTGAACCATCAAACCCCTCAGCAATGATCATTCTGTGTAATTATCGTAAGCACAGCTGGCCTACCACGCACTGCACCACAGGTGTGCTGCAGGGCTGATGGGTAAGCTTTCATTCTGCAGGCAGAAAGCTACTGTCAGGAGCTACAGTCCAAACAAACATCATTATTAAACAGCCTCAGGTCACAGCTTTACATGGGGTGCAGGAGCTGCTTGAATTAAATAAGGGCGAGTGAAAACAAGCCAGCAAACTGGCCCGTTCCTCCATCCTTCCATCACCTATGTAGGTCGTTGAGTCATTACCAGGCTCACACCTGCTGGAATAAAGTTTAATTAAATAAAAAGTTTAACTATATAATATATGGGTATATATTATTCATGATTCAAAGTTAAAGTCTTCAGTATATCAGGATTTTTAGCATCAGCAATTTACTTAATTGCATTTTTGCCATGGTGGCCACGGTTACTCAATTTCATTAGTTCTTTGATAACCCTTTAAGCCATTATATGGTTGAGCCAAGCAGCTCGAATGCTGTGGTATTTTTAGAATTTATCTGACAAATATTGTATCAACTGACTCCAGGTGCTTCATTCATTCCATCTGAAACCAAAAGAAATTAAATAAAACTAGAAAGTTTCCTTTCCTAAAAAGTTTTACTGCCTTATTATACCAACACAAAAATAAAATTAAAATAAAACCAGTGGGAGGATGTTTCATAAATCCAATGTTTAAAAGTAAATAGAAGTCAGCCCTACGTTGAATACCAGTCTATTAGGTCACCATTGATTAGACAGAAATACCAGTTGCTCCTCTGCCAAAAATAATGCACATGTCCAACACTAAAGTTCACAGCGAGTGTTGTAGAGCTACAATAGCCGTAGAAATGTCACATTAGTGACCTATTCCCAGTATCTGTTTGTTGGTATTGAATGTTTTAGGAAATGAAAGCCACAAAGAGTTTCTACCCTGGAGACGAGTCTGCCATCATCATACGTATTGAGTGAAAAATAATGACTTTACTGTAAGTATTGAGTGAAATTCCACTAACTTTTGTCTCCGGGGCAACTGCCTTGCCTCCACAGTGCTTCACCCACTAATGCACCTAACACAAGCAGGATGTTTTTATGACTCCTTTCACAGTGTACCGACCAATATTAGAAACACACCTCTCTATTTGCTGTTTTCCAAAGTCGATATCACCGCCAACGAATGACTCAGAAATGACCATACAGCTGAATATACATCTCTCTGAAACTGTGTCAACCAATATGGACTATTTTAAACTTCACAAAGGCACGATGAGATTTATGCATCGCTAAGTAGCCGCTGATGCTGATGCTGTCTCCTTTTTTTATCTCCACGGGTTCAACTGCATAACCCGACATTTATGAAGCGAGCACACCGGCATGCGTTAGAAATACACTGAGGCGCTTCAGGCGAATCAGCCAATCAGACGGCAGTCAGAGGAGCGAGGGAGGGTTGGATCGAGTGCGGCACTTCCTTTCACAACTACAAAACGGCCTCAAGCAACCCTTTCCTGGACGCGAGTCCATCTGTACGATAACCATTACCGACAAAAACGTATTTATTATTCCTGCAACTTCTCGCATTTTGCTCTTTGTGGATTTAAGTCTCAAAGTCTTATTCCAGAGTGCGCCGTATAACAGCGATGTGCTGTGCTAACACAACATAATGGCTCTGGGAATAACGGTTGGACACGTCTCTGGCCCGGCCTCACCTCCTGCTGCCTGTAATGACTGGGACTCGCCAGCCTTTGATCTGGCTGAGCTCCGGGTCGGCCACGTCAATAAGCAAGGGCAGGCGGGGCACCCACACACTCATCTCCAGCTGGGCGCTCAGGAAACCGTAAGTAAAGTTGAGCATCACCCGGCTCCTCCCTGTTGTCTCCTTCCCGTTCACGTACACGTAGTCACATCGCTCGGACACCTGCACAGAGTGGGGGAGAAAAAAAAGGGGAAAGGCGAATCAAGCAATGTTCTGCCTGATAAGAAACGAAAGAAAGTGATTTGAAAAGCTCGACTTTCTAGAGATAAACAGCAGAGGAGCCCGTTCCGCATTAAAGCTCGACGGAAAATGAATAAGAAAGTTTTAGTATAAACTAAAAAAAGCACCACTGCAAACACACACACACATTTTACACATTTTTAACAACTCCCAAAGTCTGGCCAGTGAATCCTCCCGTGTTTCTCTATATGTCATGTAAATTCACGACTAAGGGTCTCAATGAAACCGCAGCGGAATATAAACTACATCCGCCTTATGACTGTTCCTGCGGTGCTGTGCGGTAGGCGGGAGCCTTGCTCTTCCCTCCGCCGGTGAGCGCAATGAGGTGAAACACAGCAGTCGGTGTGTTTTATTTAAGATTGGAGGCCTATCTCCATTGCCGCCTCACTTATCTTAACAAACCAGTAGCTCCACAGCGGTAATTGGAGGGCACTAGACTGGAGAGCAGAGTGTAGCACTGGAGAGAGGGGGGGGGGGGAGGGGGTGGTTATTGGGGGGAGGGGGAAAAAATTCGGGGGAAAAAAAGCAGAGGGAGGAATGACTTGCAAGGGAAGTCAACGTGAACTCTGCAGGAAGTGATGAGGGAGAAGAGTCTGTGAAGACATTTTCCCATCATGCCCCCTGGCATGGAACCCAATATCTGATGAGTCCACCGCCATCGCATGCGCTCTAGATGGTTCAATGGACAGAACTTTTAACTCAATGAGCACTGAAATCATGATTATTTTTCCCCCCACAGCGAAGGAACATGTTGATGAAAAACGATCAAAACTTTCAAAAGTGAACCTTTATCCTACAATTTAAAATGGCAGGACAAGTAGCCTCTTATCTGCATGCGCTGGTGTGGGCGTACCGTAGAATGAGATGTTGCCTTCTTAAAACCTCCACCTGTGGTTTTACTATTTCAACCCATCGCCATTCAATCAAGTTTTCCTTTTTTTAATTCATCCTGCTGTGTGTTTAGAAATCAAAATGTTTAATACACCATTAAAACCGAAATATACGAATACATTACTATGTAAACTAAACAGCGGTTCCAAATGAGTAGCAGTCAAAGCGTTTAAGAACCTTTTTTTTCAGCTCTTCAAAAGAAAGGCGTTTTCAAATCTGCTGTTGGCGGTATTGTCAGTCAGTCATATTCTACACCGCTTGTCATTAGAGGGTGGTCCGGGGGGGTCTGCTGTAACTTAATAATAATGATAATAATACAGATTCAGGGGTTGGTGGGGACCAAATGACAGATAATAGGAGAAAGGACATGGATGGCCGTCTGTTAAATGTACCAACAGCCAACTGTTTGATTGATCCACATTAAAATGTCATAATGTCCTATTATGTTAGCATGTCAGCTTGTTTGTGGCCCCTGAGGGGGGAAGAAATTTCAATACATGTTTCTTTAAATGAGCTCTAGAGCTTTGCTCTAAGTGAGGACAGTAACTTCAGGAGGAGTGAGAGACGGATCAGAGATAACATTAATACATTTTATTCGTAGAGCTCTTTAAAAGGTACTCAAGGCACTTAAAATACAATAATAACTGGATTAAATTCCTCTGCTGATGCGGAAAAGTATTAATAATACAGTACTTTTTGGCTCTTTCTCATTTTCTTAAGCTAACACAGGCGGGCAAACCGCCTCCGCTGCTGCAACGTCTAATGGAAAATCACATAATTCCTTTTCTCCTCTGATACGCTCTCCTCCGTCCCCTTCTCTTTGTCCCAGTAGCATAGATCCATTAAATAAAAGGTCAAATAAGTGTGCTTATGGACTGAACGCTGGGATCATGGGCTCAATCTGGAGTGTCGCGTGGAAGAGGCTGCTTCTATCCAAACTCACACACACACACAAACTCAAGAACCAGTGATATTCCCTTTCTTGGGAGCTAAACACAATTTAGCTGTCGGGGTTTTGTTGTATTATCTGTGTATAGTGCTGCAGTAGAGGGAAACTAAATATCTCACGTTGAACATACGTACACATGCATTTCCATGATACCGGCAGTGCAATCGCTCTGCAGGAAAAACAAGGTGCCTTATGAGAAATGGTTCACCTTGACGACATCCTCCTCTGTCGACCTACAGCTGGTGTAGTTGGTCACGTCGGTGACTGAACCGTCGGCCTCGACAGCCAGCGTTTTCACAGGTACCGACACCGTTTCACCCGTCAGCACAGCAGTGTTCAAGATATCGGTGTTCTGTGCAGAAAGGTGGGCAACATCGATTAGAATAGGACAAACATATGGATGCATTATTATAGTTGTCAGTTCATAGTTGATCTTCTTAGTAATAGAGTCTTGGACGTGAATATGCTGGTGTATTACAACCTTGTGATGCTCTACTATGGCGACCAGTAATTGGGCAAATCGTTTAGCCTGCCTGGCAAAGAGTATATAGACACAAATGTCTGATTGACAGAAAATTAGCAAATTGTTTAAGGCATTTTCCGGTTCCGGCTTCACACATGCGCGGATGTGCTTGTAACAAGAGTATTTCTGCGGTGTGTTATTAGTACTTTTCATACGGGGGCAGCGAGGACAAGCCAAGAGTGCTACTGTAGCTGGACTAACAGAGATTATAACACTCGCTGGATCACAAACTTGATTTGTTTAGCACAACTGGACAGATGGGCTAAAAAAGAAAAATCTCTCTAGGATGATACACGCAGTACATGTCCCGTCTCTCACAAACTCACACACCTGGAGGCAAACGGGTTCTTGGCTGTGTCGTTTTATCAATATTATCAATAGTCAACAGAGTTGATAAACGCTCTAACATCCGTTTTCCCTCTTTAATCAATGCTAAACAGCAGCTTAGCTTAGCGCTTCTGTATCATAAATCTAGTATAGGTAGAGACAGTGTGTGTAAGGAGTTCCCCCCGATGCCCGTGGATAAGACAACCCCCCCCCTTGGCAGATGTTGCCCAGCAGCTTCATACTCTGAACTCCGTTCGGTTTGGCAGCTGCTGACCGCAATTCGAAAATGGACACGCTCCAGTTCAGGCTGCGAACACTGAACCAAACATAAGCTCCTGCATCGTGGGTAGCAGAAAATCGGACGGCGATATCAGCGCTCTGTGGTTTTGGCAGCGGCTAACCGAGAGATCTCGACTTCCGATGTTTCCGCCGGCTCTGCAGTAATCTGGCTCAGAGTGATCAAGTAGTTCCGCTGTGGTTTAAATCTGTTACTCTCTGAAAACAGTGTTATCTTTATACTCGTAAACCTTGGTAGGGCGCATACATTTTTTCCTTCATTTGCATTTTCATTCAGTGAGTCCAAATGTTAAATTGTTCATCCTTTTATTTTGTTCTGCTATAAACATAAAGCTACAGTGACTTTACCTGAAAGGTAAGGTTTCCTACATAGGAAACAAATCTATTCCCTCCGAAGTTAAGAGAGAAAAATGTCTGCGCTGACGGAGATGAGACGTATGTTTGATTCATTTTGATTATTGCGGCATGAAATTGCTTACTGACTCGCCTGTCAGAGAGACGTGCACCTACGGCAGCTTGTCATGTCTGATGTTTGCATTAAAATGTAAAGGAAACATCAACAGAAATGTTCCAGCGTCACTGATAACAAGACGTCGTTGCAAACGGTCATTTCAATTCTATCAGACTCCGCAATGCAGACCCACTAATCATTTTAAACAGAGAAAAATAAGAATTGGTGTTTATTTGGGATACAGCCATGCAAATGAGTGAACGTTTCCTGGAGGAGGCCGGCAGAGTGAATGAATACAGATCCAGTATTGTCCTCACCATGACCAGAGGTGCCAGCCCCACATAATCTCTCTGGGTGGTGTAGATCCGCATTATGCCCACTTCTTTCACGTTCCCTGGCAACTCCAGACGCCAGGAGATCATCTGGCTCTCAGCCAGCTCCGAAACATCTCTTGGCACAAAGTCCAGCTGTAGAACTTCCAGAAGACCCCTGTTGAGAGACGGCGTTTTAAAATAGAACAAGTTTAGACAGGTTAAAGCAAGCGGTGGAGCGCAAGTCTAATTCATAGTTCATGATTCCCGGATTATTTTTGTTAAAATACAAGAAGCGATGCAGTTGAACAACCAAGACAAGGAGGTGACGTTTGATCATCGTCACTAATAGTTGTTATTTTCATACTTTACTTGTTTTTATAGGGAACTGGTGTCAAGAAACAAAGATTCTTCAATGCAGATCTGAGATGAGCTGTGAACTCTCTCTCCTGTGCCATGTATATATGTGTGACGACACCTCCTATGAAAATTAAAAAGAAATACTGTGGAAAATAAAAGTCGGAGCAAATCAGACGACGTCTCATTTCAATCAGCTGATGGAAGAACGAGTTGAGCGTGTGGAAGGAAGATTAAGCAAGCCAGCGCAGACTTGAACCACTTGAGTATTCTGGTCAAAGGATTGTCAAAGAAAAGCCATGTGATGTTTTTTGATGCTGGAGAGAGTACCTGCCAGTAGGAACAGATCAAAAGGGGGAAAAGTGCAGAATGTCAATGGAGCTTTGGCACTTTGAAGTGGAGCGAAACTTTAAAGCAAGAAGCAAAACAACGAACCTCTACAGAATACGACTAAAATTCCCACTTAGAAAATAAAATCATAAATATTGAAAAGCGTATACAAATAAAAAACAAACAGAAATTCTGACTCGATCTAAATGAACTCAAGGAGTTTGCTCGAGTGCATCTATAAGATTTGCTCTGTTGACAGGATTTAAACAAGAAGTATGATACCACTAGTATCAATATTCTCATGAATATGTCACCAAGAAAAGCATATAAACTTATTTCCTTCCTGTTAATGATTTCATATGAAGTCATGTGTGTCTTCTGCAAGTCTACCTGAAATCCTGCCAAATTAAAGCATTCCACAGTCCAAGTCCAATTATTACGTTTTTTTTCTTGTTGTCTTGTTATTTTCTTCAACTAAATGGACTGTTTTGAAACGATTGAAATGATTCACACAGAAAATGCTGCAAGAGAGAGTGGATGAGAGCAACAGCGCGAAACACCGCAGGGGTTAATGGCCCTTTTTCCTGGAAATCCATCTATGAGGGGCGATTTTAAAACCCTGAAAGTATCATCACTTCAAACACAGTGGGGGGAGCACTTGTGTGTGGGCATGCATGTGTGTGTGTGTGTGTGTGGACATGCATGCATGCATGTGTGTGCGTGTGTGTGTGTGTGTGTGTGTGGACATGCATGCATGCATGTGTGTGCGTGTGTGTGTGTGTGTGTTTCCTGGTGGGGGCTCAGCACAGGGGACACACAACTTGGAATATCTCTCCTTCCTAATCTCCCCTTCTGAACGTGCAAGCGCTTAAGCCTGGATAACGTGGCCGTGATTATGAATGATTACACATAAGAGGGTCGGGCGGGGGGCGGCCTGTGGGTGCCTGTGTGTGGGGCCGGACGTTGCTGGGCAGAGGTGGCGGGTGGTGTAAGCCGCGAAACGGGGGGAAAGTAACTGTGTGTAACAGTTATATCATGCAAAGTGCTTTATTCATTTGGAATAAAGTCATTAGAGGTAGAAGAGCTCAATTATATTTAATTTTAGTTACAATGCCCATTTTTGGGATCATACAGAATGGGGATGATAACTAATGGGACCAGGAATTCTGTAATTTAATTAATTAGTAATTTACCCGTCATAATAAATATAGATGACATCCAATGAAAAGTTGGGCAAGAATGAGATGATGTATTTAGGAAGTATTCCAGGAAATTATAATGAAATCAAAAGGAACTCAGAAAACTGAGCTTTTCCAGATTTGCAAATGAGAAACCCCAATTATCCATCTTTTATTTTTGAACATCACTGTGTCTCGTTAACCTCTTCAGTGCATCCTAATCAAAACACAGCTGGTGACTGACAATTAAAACAGCACAAATAACTGCTCTAAACTGTTTGCATGTTGCTGGGGAGTTATTCCTTCTCATGTTTTTGCACTGCCCTCATTCCAGCAGGATCACTGTAATACCCTGCAGATCTTTCTAAGTGTACAACGCAGTCCGTGCATACTGAAGAACTCCTCCACAGACAACGGTCTGCAGAAACCAAAGAGCGCATCCATTTTTTAAAACCCATTTTATTTTAATGCTCATTTTCTCTACTGATAAAATGAAAACTGATACAGTCACACCATCTTTTACACAAGACAAAAACTAAACAGTTTTTTCCTTTACTAGTTACATTTTTTGTTTTAGTGATGACTGATTGATTAGCAGCAGAGTTTATGGAGGTCAGTTTATAGGTCACAATATACAGAGAAGGAGAGACACCAACACGTGTGGAGAAGGTGCGCAACTGACCTCTTGGCGGTGACGGCAACCTTCCTCTGGCAGACGACGGAGACGGTGTTGGGAGTCGCTCCTCTGCCGGGCTCCACTGCGATGTCCCACAGCGCCGAGTCACTGGGCCGCGCCACACTGAACGCCAGGCCGGCTTTTACCGTCGCCCTGCGGAGAATACAAAAACCAATGAAGGACGGGATGCCAGTAGGTGCAAAGCGTTGACGTTACTCGCGAGGTGTCTCGTTAACTCGCTCGGGGTTTGATGTGATTTGTGTAAAGCAAAAGACAAAAAGGCTTCTTTGAACACAAGGATGTCCGTCCTGCAAGATCTTGTTGTGCAATATCAGCTGCCCAGGACACGGCCCAATACAGAGCTATAGTACTCCACAATTAAAGAGAATTACCGCCGTTTATATCTTTTGTTGAATATGTTCACCATGTCTTTCCATCTGCGTTTTGAATTATATTTGATGCTCATATACAAGTGAATAATTACACATGTACAATGCATTTGTGTTTGTTTTGTATGCGCTCGTTTCAGTTGTCAATGTCAGACGGAGAATTAGCAGGGGTGTTTATTCCCATTTGCCCCGGGGACAACTGGGAATCAGTTAATCAGAGCTCCGATTCAGACAAACATCCCCTGGCTGGGACAGACCGAGAGAGGGCTTATTGTAAATAATGTGAATGGACCAGAGAGTCCTGGAGGTGGAACAATTCCCATGCCTTTGTTTTTCTGAATCAGGCTTAATCGTTGTGCTAAAGATCGTTGGACAGGGTCACGCAGTATTAGGCTCAACAGGGAGTCACTAATCTCACGCAGACACCCAGCTACCTCAGCTCTATTGGAGACTTTGTGTGCATCCCAAAAAAACGGCCAATTTCCCTATTGCTGGGAGTCAATGGGAGTCACCATCTGACCTGTCGGCAGGATGTTGACGCTGAGAACCATTTGGTTGACGGACTGCGAGGGAAGCTTGCTAAAGCAATCTCGACAAGACGTGTGGCGGAGGAGAGGATTATAAGACAATAAACAAAAAGTAAACACGTTCAAAATACCAATTTAAACTTTTAATCGTGTCTAGCAGCAAAAATTCTGCTCTTGCGTTCAGCACTTTAGGGCACAAATATTGGATTTATTAAAAGTGTCTGCTTTCTAGCAGCGGCCCTTTAGATCATCCGCCTCATGGTGATATGTTAAATGAATATACCCCAAACGAAGGTTATTTTACTGGTAAATTATCGTAGAAACGCTTCTTTTTCCTTTTATACAATTTGCTGTTCAGTAATGGTTCAAGGCTTTTTTTACAACATCCAATTTCCAAGTCCCCCTGTTTTGACAACCTGTAGCTTTTCATTTCAGCAGCATAACAGTATCTAAATAGGTGAATCACGTTAGAGCTGACGGACGACACGATTCTAATCTATTCGTATCATAATAAGGGTCAGAACGGACGCCCTCATGTTCAGCACACACTTAAAAATACTGATTTGTAATGAAACAGCAGCCAGACGGATCAATAACCATTGGGACAGACTCAAGGTCACAGTTGTTTGATAGAAAAACACAGTATGTGAGTGAGCAAGAGCACACACACACACACACACTTCCACAGAGTTGGTCCTTGAAGCAAATTGACAAGCTAACAATTCAACAAATGCTGGATGAAGACACACTTTTGCTAAGATCTTTATCTGGATTGAGAATAAAAGGAATAACAATTTATTGTGATCAAAGATTGTTCTTCAGCTACGGAACAATTTGAAAACAGTATCTATACAGTCGTCTATTTATGACATTTATGATCTTACAGGACATCCTCCATCCATTGACTCTTTTTCTTGCTACTTGTACAACAGCACCTGCGGACCGTCCTCCCCGGGGGAACCAACCCTTTCAACCAGCTCCTGCTGGGAGTGGAGGAGCAGTAACTCAATGCCAGAATCCTCCTGGATCACTGAGTTTCGCCTCCCTCGAGGAGACACGGGACACTCCCCACAAAGGAACCTCATTTCGGCCACTTCTGTCCTCGCTCTTTGTCTTTGTCAGTCACTACCCAGAGTTCACGGCGACAGTGTGATTGATATGTCCCGTGCCTTTCACATAATATATGATATTTCATTGACACACTTTCACAAGTTGCCTGTGCGCCTAACAGGTGCATATGATGGCCATGCAAATCAAGCACACACACACACACACACACACACACACGCACATAGATCTCCATGGTTAATCCTGGCAGTCGGCCCAGATCATCTCTAACCTAAAGGGTTAACCTCTTGATTCATTTTCAATCAGGCGCGCAGATTATCTGGCCTAACCCTGCCGGAGTGGACTCAATCTTGGGCCAAAGAGCGAAGTAGAGCAGGGATTTCTCCCAGGAGGAATCAATCACTTCGCCAAGCTCCTCGCTGCTGGCCGTCACTCGGACTTAACCCGCTGGACTCAGTCCTCTCTTCTTGTCCGATCTCCTCCTGGATGTAGCTGTAGGTCAGAAATACACGGCCTGAAGTCAACCTGGCTCCCGGGACTTCTCGGTTGCGGTCAGTGAGTCAGACTTTGGGGAATCAGGTGGAGGGGCAGTAAATCCCCCCAAAGAACCAAAACAACGGCAGCTGTTGAAGGGTCAGCGTCCCTCTACCAAATCTTATTCACATCACTCACTGGGTTTGCGTGTGCCGGGCATGTTTGCGTCTGCAGATGGCCAGTGCGATGCATGAGAATGGTTTTGACCGACACACAGCCACAGGTCAACCACTATGGATTAATACATATACCGTCGCATTTCTCTGCATTTGCCTCCATCCCGCCGCAGATTACCGTTTGTTGTTTGCTGCATGATATCACTGGGATTAAGAGAGAAATTTGTCTTGCGTTTTTTTTTAAAACAAACATTAAGCCGAGTAAAGAGTGGAAATGCAAACCCTCTCTGCAATGGCTTTACACTTTACTGATCTGAAGCATTCTGACAAGAACGATTTTACTCTGCCGAGCGATGTGCATTAGAAGACAGTAAGTAGAAACTTTGAAACAGATTGAACCGCTGGTGTCGGCGTGTCAGGGCTGCTTTCATATTGACTTCACTTTTAACCACAAGAGTGAGGGAGATGTTAGTTATTTGTCTTCCTGCTCCGTTAAATAGATGCATTATTTATGAAGTCAATGCCCAGAGAACCTTGTTGAAACGTTAGTGGGATGTTGAGATACGGAAACCGGTGAATCATTTGCCAATTATTTCCCTGTTCATGGAAGAGTGCTCTCCATAACTCCCCCACTAACTTAGAAGTTGAAGTAGACGGGATAGAACATGTCAGTAGTTTATGAAGCCGGTAAAAACCAGGAAACAACACAAGTCATGTTGGCACTCAAGCCTTTTACTGAATGGCCTCGGTGGCGAACGCCCATCAGTATTCAAGGGTCTTAACGAACCATTTAAATGCATGGAGCTCATCATTCATGAAGATACTCAAATGTACTGTTCATCACGGTGATTCAACTTGGTTTCAGTCCCTTTTTCTGCTTCATATGTTTCAATTAAATTTTATGTGTCTCCTCCTTAACTCTTGGCCCCTTCAAACTCAGCAGCGTAGAAGAGTCATTTTTATGTTTTACGGGAATGACATCTTGGTGCTGTAGTACCAAAATGTGATGATGGCACATAACTGTGTGTAATGTGGATATCGTGGTTCAGTGTAATTAGTTTATTTGTTAACAAGGTGGTAGGTACATGATGCAGCACTTTGGAGCTTGCAGACTAACTACTTAGCAATCCAAATGTGGCTAAATCATCCCCACAATGTGTGCAAAACTCGGATCAAACCCTCCTTTAAAACCCAAACCGCTCTGCAGACAACCATATTTCCACCAATTCCAACAACTTCTTTGAAAAGTTCAGCTCACCTGAGAGTAAAGGTCTCCAGGGTGGATGTGCTCGGCAGGAAGACATAGAAAGTCGCAATGTCCGTGTCCTTCAGGGGCTTGGAAGAGGTCTGGATCACCACGGCGCCTCCCAGCCTCACTCGAAAATAGGTGGGGTTCCCCGACTGAGTCCTGAGCAGGCTGACACTCCCTATTCGCCTCATCGGCGTCCCCGACCCCCCGGAGCCCCTTCCCTTTCCCACGCCTACGCGCTGTAGGCTGTCCTGCGGGTTACACTGGCCTGTCCGATCCCGCCGACTCTGGAAGTAGACCTCAACAAGGTTCCCCTGAAGCCCCTTGATCCCTTCGGTTTTCCCCGCTTCCTTGCTGGCGCTGCCCGATCGGCTGGCCGAGCTGAACCAGGCCGGCTCGGGGCGAAGCTGCGCCACGCAGAACCCACCTGGCAACACCAGGCACGCTCCACGGACCTCCCTCGTCTCCCAGAAGGCGTAGGCGGTCACACAGTGGGCTCTGTCCTTTGCCTTAGCTCCGGCGCCTTTCCACCCGCTGTCATCCTCAGAGCCCGTCTTTGCTTGCACCGCAGTGACGTCATTTTCAGCGGGCATGTGGAAGAGAATCTTCACGACGGGGGATGAGGAGCGAACCTTGCGGACCAGAATGACCGGCAGGATCCTGCGCCCGCTGAGGAGCAGGTCCGGGGAAATGGGAGCATCTACGCTCAGGGGTCCGTATGAAGCGTTGACAGCTGGCTGCGGGAGCCCACCGCCTTTACCAGTGATGAGGACATACTGAGTCTGGGCCTTCAGGCTGGAGTTCCTGGATGACTCGGGGGTGGCCTGCCTCAGAAACACGTGATCCACATTGAGGACCTGAAAGTCGATGGCGGGGTACGCCGTCGACGGGCTGTCCACAGCAGCCTTCTGACTTTCAGCAACTGGGAGGGGAGAATTTGCAAAGAGAGATTAGCACATTCACTCTACCTCTGTTTTTTCATTATCTGCATTTAAGATGCATACAGTTACTTACGAAATCAGTCAGTTACTTTACGTAGGAGCGTCGGATGGGGATAGGACAAAGACGAAGGGGTTGACTAAAAGGTCACTGCTGGAGAAGCCCGACAAAGGCTTAAAGACGGAGGGAGTTGGGTGCAACGGGGATCAAGGAGAGTTTGTACGAGCAGGTAGGAGCCCAAAGGCGGTAAAACCAAGGGGATTGGATACCGTTCCCCATGTAGAGGATGCCCTGAAAAAAAAGGGGAACAAAGGAAAAGAATTTGGGGCAAACAGGAGAGTTACGGGTAAGGCATGAAAACGATTGATGAATTGTAAGAGTGCATCCCAAAACTGGGCTAGGAGACTTTTGGACATGAAATAAAACAAATTACTACAGCATTTAAACAGTTAATTCATGGGACCATCAAAAACATGCATAACAAAGAACCGGAAGGGATTTTGTCACAGTTTTATGCTGAGCACATTTTTAAATCACACTATTCCTGTCTCTTTAAGTTAAAGAGACTATTTAAATGGGCCCAAGCAAAGCGATGCGAAAACCAACTCTCTCTCCAAAGTGATTCACTTCTGTGTGGCGCCGATAGAACCGTCTAATGATGGCGATCGATGTGTTTGGATGCATCGAAAAAGACACTGTTTCCAACCGTATACTAAATAACCAGATGGTAACTACAGTAAATCCACAGGTCACACATAAATGTTCATCCAAATGACACGCTACTGCTAATTGGATCAATCTTTGAGAACTAATTCTCCATTGCAGTTAAACACTAAAACACATACAACATACACAACAACCAACGCAATGGAGTGAATGAACTCCGCAATACAGCTGTATGTTAAGCAATTTTTGTTTTAAAAGGCACAAGATCTATGAAAAAATACACATGTCTGAGTTGATACTAAAAATGCAATATTCATAAACACACACAAAAACTGTTTTTTAGCTTCCGGTAATGAGACTGATGCAAAAAGGACACTAAAAGGCCAAAGAAGGTGTTGGCGGGTACACATTCACACAATGCCTGCAGACTGAAGGCAAACCAAAAGGTAAAAAGAAATATTATACAAAAGGGGATCCATTTGAACGTCTATATTTCCCATCATTTGCCGTAGATCTGTATACACAAAGCTACGAGAACAAGTAAAGTCGTAGTCTAATTTGTAAACTGGCACTGCTGAGGACATGACGTTTCTCAGACCCTTTAGGTCCGAGGTTCAACTAATTACATTTTTGTGACGAGCCAGAACTAACACTTTTGGACTATTACTATCATTTAGGCATGAAAAGGAAATGAAAGTTAAAACAACATAATCAAAGGATTTGATTCCTAATCCTTGACTGTTTCATACAGCAGACTTTAGATTTAAATTGGAGGATTATTATTTGGAAGAGGTTTGTGCTTCCTAGTTCATTTCATTTATATTTTCTACTATATCAAGCAGGAGATGGGTGTCTGTGTACTTTCAGCTCACATGAGAAAAGGCCACATTAGGACATTAGATGACTGTTGTAAAGAGCCCATGCACAGTTATAGATTGGCTGATACCGTCTCATCTCGGGGGGCACAAACATCCGGTGGTAACTGGACTCGCGTGTGTGTGTGTGTGTGTGTGTGTGTGCGCATCGAGGCGGAACTCGCTCGATACAGAGAGCAGAGGGGGGTTGTACGTTACTACGTAGAGAAAGAAAATACAGTTTGTGGAATAAAAGAACAAGGTTCACCTTAAATGACTTTAAGTGTTGTGTGAATGGCGCTATGTGGAATATGAAATTAAACAAAATTCACTTGACCTTCAATTGGGGGGGGTGGGGTGCCTTTGGTTAATGTAATGGTACTGGGACCACTGATCACAGCTTTCTTTGTGGCAGCCGCTGTTCTTAGATCCCTAATTAGTCCAGACTGCTGCACATCAGTATTTGACTGGATCCCCTTAACGATCAAGTGACATTAGAAGAACTAGTTGAAATATTTTAACCTCCGTAATTGTGAGTTCAACCTCGGGCCGCCTCGTTGACACGGCGGGGGGGGTGCACCCGTGAGTGGACTGAGAGATGAAGCCCGCCCGTTAATATTCATGGGTGCCACGCAGAGAACATATCAAAGGCTGAATTCTATCGCTTAGACATGAATTAAGAGCACAGCTGCGCCGCCGAGTCCTGCAGTAGCAGGGAAACAGCCGTCCCGGACGTAATGTGCGTCTGACCAAACGTGCACACGGTGACATCATGTGCAGATACAAGCGCGGGCAATCTCTGAAAAGTCTTTGGCGTGATATCCGTATCACAGAGAGACAGGCAGCTCGCTGTGACTTTGTCAGCTCCCAATGCAGGTTATCTTTAAGCAACCAGAGGAAGCAGCTTTTGCAGCCACAGCTTGCGGCCTCTTTAATCCCCACAGATGAAGCTTCCTGATGCACACTGGAGAGACGTGCCCTCCCTTTCATTCACACAGAGGGACAATGGAATGGACAGAGGTAGTGGCCATGCAATCATCAATCATCAGCAAAAGTCGACCTGCCGAGCTCACATGAAGTCAATCACCTGAACACAATGCACCCGAATAGTTTTACAACCCCAATGTTGTTTCATTTCTCTAAAGCGGTTCTATACTGTGAAGGCACTTCTCCTCTCGATGCACGCTGTCATCGTCCTATAGGCCTAATGTAAGCGAACAACAGGCTACAAGAAACAACAGCACATAGTCTGTGCATATGTGAGATTACACCAAAACTTCAATAAAGGGGAGGCAACAAATACAATGTATGGCAAAACAAGCACATGTGCATGTTCCCACTGTAAACACAGCTGGACATATCGAAGGGTCCCTCCTGGAATCTCACCTCCGACGACAGCGAGCAGCGCCACTGCGACGACAGGCAGCAGCGTCATGTCGGCCAGGTTGAAGGTTCCACTCCGTCCCCCTGACCCGGCGCGCACCTGGCTGCGCGGTGGTGACGCTCTGGGTGGGGTTTGGGTGGGGTTTGGGGTGGAGGGGGGGGGCAAATCACTGGACTTTCCCGACGCGCTTAAGAGTTACTTCCTCTGGCCGTGCAGGATGAAGTGAACAATAAAAAATTTTAAAATCCTGGTTTTCTTCCTTATCCACGTAGAGCGTCGTCTTGATGCATCCGTGATGGTTTTGGTATGTGTGCACGTGTGTGCGTGCACGTGTGTGTGTGTGTGTGTTTGTGTTTGGTCTCCGCCGAATGACGACAGAGATGATTTCCTCCGGGAGCGCACGGCTCGAGCTGGCACGGCAGGACAGCAACGGGCACGACTATTCCCATGATAGAAACGAGTAAACACGCGCCCCCTCTCAGATTAACGGGACCACGTGGGGAAGAGCTGCCAGCAAATGAAATGCGCACGAGGTCAAGCGGGATCAGCGGTTTCTCCCTTAATAAAGGGCGAGAAAAAAGTAGATCCTATTCATTTTTTATTTTTTTTAACTGTATTTAAAGATTTAATTTCTTTATTCACAGATAACATTACACTAAGTAGGCCTTTATATTGATTGTGACTATTATGTGCCGGTTCTAAAAGGGGGCGGGGGGGGGCGGTGGTGATGGGCAGGGGTCTGCAGGCTGCCAGCTGCATATTCCACAGTCCATCCAGCATCAGGAGGGTTAGGAGGAGGGGTCAGGAGGGATCATATGAAGCAGATTGATCAATCACAGCTGAAACCTTGTGGTGACAAACAAAGGACAAAATGCTCGTGTTGGCTCCACTTGAGTCCTGTGTAAGAGCTGAAAAACTGAACAACTCAAAGAAAGAAAAGTTGGAAGTATTTCTTTTTTTACGGCCACATTAGGCCCTTAGGCCAAATTTGACATCTTAAAACTTTGGCTGATTACTTTCCCCCCGCTCCTATTTTTATGTGTATCACTTCATCTGCCTTGACCTGAAATCTCTTACGCTCATTATGACGAGGTGCATTGAGCGTCAGTGCGAGTTCAAAGCCAAAACTTAAACTGGAGTGATGTCTTGTTGGATCTCCCCCTGCCACCAGGGAGACGGTGATATTCGGTTACGCAGTCTACGTAGTTTGTGCAGTTTAGGCACCATGGCATCCATCCACATTACACCAAGTGCTGACACCAGATTTACGCTGAAGAACAACCAGTGTTTTCGAGCTTGAACATCACTGAATACCTGTTGACTGAACCAAATGTGCGTTGCTGGCAGGATAATTAATGCCAGCCAGCGGGACGCACTGCGTCCACTGCCTCGGTGTTTGTGTTGTTGTAACATTGCCAAGCGACAGCAATACGCATGCAGGCATCATTGGCATTTTCTCCGCTGGCTACAGAGGCTGATTGAAATAAATATGGGCCTTAGGGGAACTGTTAGGGATCTCTGAGAGCCAATACAACTTTGAAGAACTGCTGGAGTCTGTATTATCTCAGGAGAGGAACTGGGTTTCTCTGTCCAGCTTGCGCTAGTGTTTACGGAGCCGGGTTGGCACAGGCATTGCATTTGGAAGCCACTGAGCTTTAATTTGAGCAGTTTGTCTGTGGTTTTGGCCGGATGAGATTATTAAAGCCGACAGAGGCAGAGGTCACCGACTATTGAGTCCGGGAACGTCTCCAGATCTCAGTTGTTGTTCCAGTCGTGCAACCTGCCGCTAGTGCCGTTAGCGACGGGGGAGAGAGTCTCCCGACGCGCGGCCCGTGACTCACATTGTTCCACATCGAGCAGCTGCCAAAGGTTTCTGGAGGAAATTTGACGCAAAATCCCAACTTTCTTCTAAAACAGGAAGCGGCGCTTCATTGTAACTGTATTAAATGAACGGACGGAGGAAGAAACGACTTCAGTGACGACAGGGCGGCTTAGTAGGGAATTCAGGAAATAGATTATGGCTTCTTTTCAGCCACGAGGACTCTGTGACCCCGTTGAGGGCAACGTCGGCGCGGCCGGTTGGTTGATCCCCCGCTTTGTCCCAGGCTGGAGCATCTCAACAGCTATTGGATGGACCGCCATGGAATTCTGTGCAGATGTTCAAGCCGCCCTCTGGGTGAATTGCAATCACTTTAGTGATTACTCTGCTTTCCTGTAACACCATTATCAGGTCAAAATTTTAATTTGTCTAATACTTTGGTTTATGACCAAACACCCTCACAGCTAATTACGTCCCCATCATGCACAGCTGTACTTGTGCTTGGCTCTAATTAGCCGATTTTAGCACGCTAATATGGCAAACAGAGCTGCTAGCACGGCTGTAGACCACCCGGTGTTTGATCTGCCGGGTTGGTTTTAAATGTGTTGCATAAGTGAAACGGTGTGTTTAGAGGTACCACGTTAACCACCAAAACTGAATCATATGTTCTGTCATCTCTGACACCTCTTTAGGGACTTTTTCCGACATGAAATCATGTATATGACAGATGTTACATTTTCAATGTGACCTGATTTCAACAGACAGATGATTCAACTTGGAAGTTTAAATTTACAGAAACATTTGATCTAAAATGAAAACCGCGAGGAATGTCTATTTTCCAATTCTATCTTAATGCGTTTCACACTGCAACAAAACAAAATACAACTACACTAGTAGTATAACATATATTGAACTGTGTGTGAACAAAACAGGACATCTTATTGAACTTTAATCTGAAAGTTGGCCTGCAGGTGATCTATGACTCACCTCCTCGGTGCAAACTGGGGTCGTCATATGATTGCTACATCTATTAACCTTTACTGACACTAATCCAGCTCACTGATGGATAATAAACCAGCCATTTTCCATCTTAATAATCCCATTGTCTTAACTGTCATCAATCAAACAAAGATTAGATCAACTCATCTATCTGGTTGCCAGGGGAGCACATGAATAGAATATTAACAGAAAAGGCTGATTCAAGAATACCCGGCACAATTGAATCCATTAGCATTTATAAAGCCATCTGGGTGTAAATCATTGCAAACTGCTTCTGGATTCCGTACTCGGATCTCCGGGGACGTGCCGCAGTCCAATTTCTGAAAATAAGGCGGCCGGTTATAACACTTTGCACCACAGTCTGCCAAGAGGAGGCGGCCTACTCTTTTCAACATCCACTAGGTTCTCCAGCCAAGTTGTGACCGCCGAGCGTTTGCCCGAGGATAAATCGGCCAAGACAAGGCCCCTCGTCCTGCCCTCGTCTTCCCTTTGTCCCCCGATGACCAATGAATGCTCCTCTCAGAGGACAGCCAGCGTAAACGCCGGTTCTCCAGCCCGGTAGGAGGCCCCAGATGAGTTACAGGCCAGGTGGTACATCCTTCCACGGACCGGCTGCCCTCAGAGCGCCGTGATGGACAGAAAAGGGGCTCGGCCTCAAACCGCCTGCTGGGAAACACGTTGATGTGGGAATGAATGGAGGGACGTGCGCGGAATCTAGGATGCCGCTGTTTTTTTGTGTTTTTTTGTGTTCCGTAAAATTGTCTGCAGACGACCACGTGCACCTTCGCCGTCGCGGGTTTCGAGAAATGTGGATTTGCCTCATAACAGAATGCAAAGAAAGAGCTCCAAGGGCTGCAGCCGACTGCATTATCTTTGATGCTGGAGTTAAAATGCAAACGTAAAATGTTTTTTAAAAGTTGTTTCGGCAAACTAAAGGAACCTGTGCGTAACCACAATGTTGCTGTGCACCTTTTGGTAGGAGGATACACAAACATGCCTCAGGGCCCTTGAGCTGGTTGATTTGGCCCTGCATGTATCCATTGAAGGATATATAACAAAAGGGCCTTGAATAAAAGCACACAGGTACTTTATATGCAGAGCAACTTGTAGTACCATTCACGGTCCCCCTTAAACCTCTGCAACACACATTTACTGTGTGAGCTTCAGGAAGTTTTAAAAACTGCTTCTAAGAGACTTCAAAAGAAGTCTCAAACTCACGTCTCGGTATATCAAAGCCAAATTAAAATATTCTACCTGGGAGATCCCTGCTGGGATTTTGGGGGGAAAGGAGGGTAAAATGGACATTGACTGTTTAACTGGCACTCTCAGGTTTTGTGAAGTATTCAGACCAGTCCAGCAGAAGATGGATGTCTCCCCCCAACCCCCCACCTTCACCCCCTCACCCCTCTGGTGACATGGCGGGCAGGACGAAAGCGAGTGATAGAGAGGTTACAACTGGCAAGAATTTTAAACATCCATCAGGCCCTCGGGAACTCCGCAGACTTACAGCTCAATAAAGATCTGCTGGATATCGAGGGAAAATAAGGACAACAGCCAGCGGATGAGGGGGGGTGGGAGAGGGTCTATGGGGGGGAGGGGCTCGGGGGGAGAGGAGAGGAAGGACAGGGAGAGATGAGAGTATCGGGGAAATATATAAGAAGCAACAAAACATATAACGTTACTCATTGATTGATACGTTCCACCTTTCCCTCTCGCCCCCCCGGAGGGCTCAGTGGGTGTTTCAGTCCTGAAACGCTGCAGTATTCGCTCAGCCTTTGAGGTTTTCTCTCCTGATTGAATCCACGTTGAAATCAAGCCAATGGTAAAAACAAATATGCAGTAGAATGAAGAAGAAAAAGAAGAAAGCAGGGGGGGGGGGGAGAAGGACTATTTCTCAAGTTCATCCTCACAGACATTTTCTGATGTAAATGCGGCTCTTGTGGAAACTGCGTTGACATCAGCAAATAAAATACGTGACGGGATTGAAACCTTTACGTCTGTCGCTCTGGCGTCCCTCGTTGGGAAGCTGCAGTCCTTCGAGCTGCCCGAACTGAAGAGCACTGCTGCCCTCCAGAGCGCCGTGATGTAACAGCACCAACGAGCGAGCCCACATGGGCCATTTGGACTTGTACACACAGGCACAGCGAGGCCTTTTAGTTGTAAAAACAGAGATATAAAACACAGGCGTAGATGAAATGAGATGCATGTTTAGAAAACATATATATTTTAGTTAGTTTAGTTATGAATTTGTTGGATGTGCTATTTCTCACTTGTGAAATGACACACATACTGATCACATCCTTGTTGCGCTTTGGGAATATTTGTTCCTATTTAATTCAAAGTTCATCACAGGCCCCTTTCAGCTTGAAGTCACGTCTGACAGTCAACATCTGTTGGACTTCAGATCTCACTTATCACTTGTTGTCGTTGCGTGGAAGCCAAGTCTCCTCCCCCCGATGTCACGTTAATTAGGAACCTAACGCGTACTGACAGTCAGTCCTGTTGTTTATGAACCTCAAAGCAGGCTCGTGTGGACTCGGCATCGTCTCCCTCCCTTCAGCCTTTTGTCCCCGATGTGATGACAGGCAGGATATGACTTGCTGTGAGATTCCGGGCTGAATGACGGCCCAGAATCTCGGCACTGATGGCAGACAGAATATTGAAACCAGATGAAAAATGTAGCTAAATAATAAACGTTGCGTAAATCAGTTCATCAAATCCTTATAATTTGTCACGTCTTGACCAAACTGATCACAAAAGATAACTGTCATCCCGTTATTGTCATTCGTTAATGAGGGCCGGCCGTCACACAGAGCTTTTTCTGAAGCTGACACAGGGATTTTCTCTCCAATCGATCACAACCGGAGGGTTTGTGGATAAATAAGACCAACAGTGGATGTTTCATTACGACCAATATTCTAACCCCTGGAACACATTTGACTGCACTCGTTAGAACACAGTTGCTATTGACAAGCATTTTACCTCCACTGAGACGACGGCTGTGAGAAGCTCTGTTTGTTGCAGCCATACAAATTAGCCACGAAAACCTTGTTTGTTATTGATCCTGGACACACAAACGCAGTTGATTCACTGTGCTAATGTCAGACTTTGCATGTCTGGCCTGCAGTCATCTAAGGGTTTTTCTGTTATAATGTCACGTATCTGACACTGGGATGATTAAAGACGCTCAAATCCATAAAATCCATGTTAAGTATGATTGGACAGCTTTGTAAATTTAGCTCAATTTAATTCATTTTTTCATGTATGCATTATATTGCTTTAAACACTATCGTGTTAAATTAAATTCATATAAACAACGTTCATTGGTATCCAGGTGGGAATTGCGGACACGAAAGCGCCAGAACGACACACTGCAAATGACAGCTTACGTCATATGAAGGGCGGTCTGTTAAGCCGACAGCGGCTACCAGAATCAAAGCATTTATGTCAAAAGTTCTGAACATCTCCTGCAACATCTGACCCGCAACCCCCGAGTGACAAAAACATGTACTTACACACAAATCAATGCAAACAATTATTTCCTAAAAAATATCAAATTTAATTTGGTTATAAAAGTTGTATTTTTGACATGCACACCCATACATAATGATCACCATGAATACTGTCCAATGACTTTGCTTTTTCTTTTTTCATTTTTAAACCTTGATTCACAAAGCAAGCACATACGGTGGACCGATACATCTGATTTCAAAGGACACAATGGAGAATGCTCGCAGTCGGTTACAGGTGGAAGGAATCTCAGTGCACCAACAAAAGAAAAAGCTGTCGTGAAAACAAAGTAGAAACATTTATAAATTATCTACAAATGGATTAAAGTACAAAAGAAGCACAGCGTTTAGAGACACTCCTCCCATTCACAGGTGGATGTTTTGGTGCTGGGACGCCGACTGTGTGACTTTGTGAAAGTGAAACTATGCATAAACAGCTTTGGAACAAAAGTCATGTAAACTTATCACCAGCAGAAACTTTTCTTACATTCCATTTTGGCAAACACTCTCTTGTCATTGCATTTAATCAATAATATTAACAAATCATTAGGGGAGAGAACCCTTAAGTGCAAGTTGAAACAAGCGACAACGAGCGATAAACAGGACAGAATGAATATTTAAAAGAAAACAACGAGTAGAAGATTTTGAAATGATTAAAGCTATGAGATGTATTATTCCTCTGGTTAATAATTAATTTCTTGTGCACTATTAGTCACCTTCACATCACACTAAATGTGGGGTTTTCTTTAACTAAACAAAGTTCTTTTATTTGGTTTCAAATATGAAATTCCATCTAATTATTTCTATAATCTGATATAAATAACACACATAGTGACTGTCTCCTCGAGAGTCAAAGAGTGAGGTAGGACAGGAAGGTTGAGGTGTGTTAAATGCATTTCACATATCTGCTGTGATTTTATGTGATCAGAGAGCGGAAAGCTTGGCATTGCAATTGGAATTTCTTTGGTTGCATTTATAGAATTTGATTTGCTTTGCATTTTTTCCCATTTGAGGAAAAAAGTTTCGATTTAAAGTTCAATGATCACATAAAACACTTCACTCAGTATTTTTACACTCCTTGCAGTATCATCTAAGACACATTTTGGAGATTGTTTACGTTGACAAGAAACTATTAAGTATAGTTACTTATTTGATTGCATTTCCTGTTGCAAATCTTTTACCGGTATTATGCAAATAGGTTTCTTTGACTATGAAGAATTGATTGCAACGTATAAAAACATTCAGTTAGTCAACAGACCAAATGGAGCAACAAGAATATCAACATTACTGACAAGTGTCTGCAGACTCTGGCTTTGGGTGCACGTGCTTGATTAATACAACGTTAAATTATTCAAGATCATAGGAATAAAGTTTAAAAAATTCTGTTTCAGATTCCAATTTCAATGATTATATATAGGGTGTGTAACACGATAACTTGTTATGGTATAGTCCTTATGTACTATTAGTACAAGTCATGTAGAGCATAAAAGGACACATTAAATACGTTGGTGATTTCTCTCCACAGACCCTCGGGTCAATGAAAACAGAACCAGTGAACAATGCACACCTTGACATTTTGATTTGGGATTTCTCCGAGGCTTCAGCGTGGCCCTCTACATCAACATGAGACAACAGAAGTGAGCGCTGCCACGGGCCACGGAGGCAGCAGCACATCACTTAATCACACAACCAAGAACCACGTGGCCTCTGCTTCAGGAAAACAAAAACACACAAGTGAAAGACAAACATGAACGGTGCAAGACAGGAATCCATCACATACGGCCTCAAACACTCACACACACACACACACACACCGGCACACAAAACTCTGGTATTTTACCAATCAAAACACCCACCTTTGTGCAATAGGAAGACGGACACAAAATGTAGTCTTGAACTAGGCGTTTCATGACAGTTTTGACAGCAAGGACGGCAAACATTTCTGCCCTTGTTTCATTTTGGAATATGACGAAGCACGAGCGACCCGTCATGAAACAAAAAGCCTGGCGAAAATCAGCTGAGGAACGTCAGGCTCACATTGTTCTCATAAAGGCCACTGAGACAACTAAGCCCGCCTCTGAAGTTAATGCCCCGTCGCCAATCTGCTAGTCTCCCTCCACCACTCCTTTCATCACAGAAGAGCACCCACTACGATGAAATCACAGGTACGAGTGGAAATGTTTCTTTTCTTCCCACGTATGCTACCGCCTCTCGGTGATATTGCACTGAATAAAGGCTTTGAGTTAGCAGCCAGCGTTCCCTCACGGAACGCCTTGATAACAGTGTAGTCTATTTGAGATGTTCCTAGAGGACTGTGGACTCTCGTTTCCTTGTTGTCACATCAATACTGTGCAACATTGATGTTGTTTTTCTCCTGTTTTGCTGCTGAGGAAAAAAAAAAAGCCTGTTCCGACCGTGGATGTACCCAGAGGCTTTGTTTTCATAGCTACCCTGCTTAAAACAAATGTAGAGTTTCTTTGACTAGTGATAGAAAAAAAAGAAAAAGTACGTGTCATGAAAATCCTAGTTGTTGTTTTTTTTTTCTTCATAAACGATCTGTTGATTTAAAATACATCACAGTAATATGTTTTTGTGTCCGCGGGTGACCTCTGTCTCTTGATTTTGGCACTGCACTATACATCATTTAGTTGATTTGTATCCCTCACCGTACATGAATAACTGTGTTACTGATTATATTAAAATAGGCTCACATCCTCTCCGTCATGTGTTGTTGGATCGGAGTTGATTGTGTGGATGCAATATACACAGCCTGTGCACGTATTGCACATGTATGCTTTTTTTTTCTTCTTTTACTTCACAGGTGAGAGTCTCTTCAGGAGCTTCTTGCCTTTGGAAAGTAGCCCTTTCTTCTTCTTGTTTGCCAGATCTTGGTCCCGGGGATCTCGGGGCTCTATGGGGATGTGGGGGCACCTCGTGGGGCTGAGGGGTCTCATGGTGCCTGGGAGGAGGGGCCGAACAATCGGGGACGGCGCTCGGACAGGTGGAGCCTCGTTGTCGAGCGCGTTGGTGGTTTCCGTGGGCTCCGTGGTCACCTGAGGGAGAAAGCGATTGGGGGAGGAGTGGAGGCATGGGGCGGGGCATTACAAAAGAAAAAAAAAGAAAAAACACTTTTTCGCTGCAGACTATTATTGTCCATTATTGTTGTTTGGCAGAAAAAGTCAAATGTCTTTCTTTTAAATTTCCTTTGATGAAAGGTCAAATCATCGGACCAGAAATAACTTATTGGCTTCTCTCTCAGAATTGTTAAATGGAACACATGGGTGTCCAGTTTGATGCAGATGTTATATAGACGCTAAAACTGTTACTAAAACTGTGAAAAACTAATTGCATTCTCTAACTTTACTATCCGTAGACAAAATAATTTGAGGAACCATCGTAATAAACAGATGAATCTATCAGAGATTCAAACCTACATTTGTGAAATTAATCCACATGCTCACACACACATATTGTACATATGCAGAAGGCGAACCGTCTATAAACCATCAGTGGGGAACATACAGTACAGTCATATATACACAATACAACACCCAGGGACGCAACTGTAGATACCAGGCTTCAACTAATGCAGCAGCTGGAGACGCAGTGATGCATCTTCATTGAGATCGATGAGAATTTGTACTTTGGTTTGACAGCTTTTTAGTCTAAATGTCTCAAATTGTCAGAGATGTGTCATAATATATATAATATAGGACAAAAAACATTCTGTTCTGTGATGTGAGGCCAATATTATGAACGTTTTACCATTTTTAAACATCTAAACATGTATGAATTTGTAATTTGACCAAAACATTTCGGTAACAAAAACTGCATTTTTGTGATCTGATACATCAGCGTGGAAAAACTAAAGAGCCGTCTGCTGTGACCGCGAGCTGCGTGCATTGGAGCCGCGAGTTTGGTATCTCGAGTTGCCGAATTACGGTACAAAGCGGACAAAGCCATTTATGGTGTGAAATGAACAATCTTCTTCTGTTTGTATGTTTTTGTTTTGCCAAGCGGGTGAGGAAAAACAAAAAAGAAATCACATGTGGCGGCAAAGTCTCCGTCGCTTAAAAAAAAAAAAGAAAAAACCCACACCACCATGAAAACTGAAAAACAACAACACCATCAACAACAACACACCGAACACAGAGCACCAGAAAAAGAAAGTTTTTAATATCCAATTTCTTTTCTTTTATTGTTCCAATGTAACAATACAGTATGGATGTATCAGTGCTGCGACTGGTTTTGTCTCTCGAGCTCAGAGCAAACACGGCATCTCCACTGTTAACAGGGCTGAAAAATAGATTTGATGTGTGTGCAATATACATAAAGAAACAAAGCCTCTTTAAGGAAATACAGCAGTCGAATCAATAAAAGTTAATATAAAATGTATCAAGTATGAAAAAGGCATGCTTCGCTCACTCTTTCTCATCTTAAAGGTTCCCCTCAAATGACTGATTCCAGTGTCCTTGGGTAGCCGTTGTTATGTGTTTAATAAAGCACTTATTATTGTACACAATAACCGCATTTTGATTTTGTGCATCAGTGCAAAGAGACACCAAATGATGTTGCGTAAAGGAATGAGTTGAGCCTTTTTCAAGTCCTCCTTAACCAGTGCTACATGCATAAATCACCCGCAGAGCTCCCACAGTCTACCCCCCCCCCCCCCCCCCCTTTGTTCATAGGGTTTGGTTTCTCCTTTCTTTGAGACACAGAAAGGCGATAACACTGGGCAGGTTTTTCTGTCCCCCTTTTCCAAAGGGCGTGGGATTGTGGGGTCGGAGGAGGGGGGGGGTTGTTAGTTTGTATAGAGTCACCACTGTCACCACATGGACAAACACACACAATGAACAGCACACAGACGGCAAGTGGAGGAAGCGAGAAGACGAAAAATCAAGAGAGAGGAGGACGGAGGATGGATGAACACAGGGCCTAGCGCTGAGAGCGGCGGTGATGGTGTACCCGTTTGCCCTCCGAGACGGCGGAGGCCGAATTGGCCGGGGCGCGGTTGGCAGGCTCTTCCTGGGGGTAGTGGGACGGAGTATCGGTCAGATACACCTCCACGTCATCAGGCACTTCTTCCAGGAAGTTAGAGGGAACCAGGCCGCGGTGGCCGTTGATCTCGCCCTGTCCACAGGAAGAGAAGAGCGGAGGCGGTTCTGTCAAGGGCGACTGATGCATTTTATACTGTAAACAAAGAATGTACGACTGCTTTATACGCTGTGATTTCAGTGTCCCGACACCTTCTATCTCTTTTTTTTCTTCGTTTTTTCACCAAAATCAGCATGTGAACCTAATTTACACTTTCAACACCCTGGTCCTATTTTTAATTTAATTCAGGTTTCAAAATGATCAATTTACATTTAGATTGATTGACACCAACCCACTGTGCCTCTAATCAATCACTGTGCAAGAAGCGGGAATCTACAGTTTACGCAATGTTGTTTATACCAAGGAAAACATTTATGTTAAACATACCACATTTTAGTTGCGCTATGAAGACAATGATAATAATGTCTGCACTGGAAAGACAAAGCCAGCATTGGAAATAGGGGGAAAAGTTGGCTTGCCTCTGCCTTTAGATGAAAAAAAAGTATAATTTGCATTGCAGCGCCTCTAAAAATGACCATGTGTCTAAAAAGTGTTGGCCAAGCGGTACTCACATAATAGAATCCATCCTCATCAATATCTCCGAACACAGCCATGATGTCACCAGCACAGAAGGTCAACTCGGCCTATCAGAAGACAGAGACACGCAAAAAGTTAAACAAGGAAGGTGCTCCAGGTGAAGTCGACTATGTCTTAACCTGTTATTTTTGTTGTCGTGGGCTCAGGGTCTGCTTCAGCACTTGGATCTGTGAACATATGTGTGTCCTGCAACGAGCCTCGATACCTCGACGTCAACGTTAGGGGAGCTCTCTCGGGGGTCGTAGTCGTACAGAGCCACCATCCTCCTCGAGGCCTGATCTCGACGCAGGCCTCTTCTGCTCTGCTCTGGAAGAAATAATTCAGAGATTTCATACCAACAGTATTTCATCCTGCGTTTTCCTTCCAAAATAAACTTAGTAAACAACAAAGACAGCAATCATCTGCACACGTTCAGCCTGCGAAGTACCTAATCTGTCCACAGGGGTGCTGAGTGGCAGGAAGCCCTGTTTGATGAGCTGGTCCATGGTCTCCTCGTCCTCCGCTCTGATCTCGGACACCATGTTACAGGGGATCAGCCCCATCCTGCCCCTCACTTCTCCTCTGTAAAACCCATCTGTGTCTTTGTCGCCGTATATCTGTCAGAGAAGAGAGTGAACAAGTGATATGTAGATCTCCAAAAAATGACCTAGTAACGTGCTTCAAATCTGCTCTATTGTAGAAGGACTATACATCAAGGGCAAAGGTACGATTGCTTCCAACTGTATAAAAAGGTAATTCATTTTATTTTTATTCTAGTTTTTATTCTTCATTTTTTATTAAAAAAAATAGATTAAAAATATCATATCTTTCATCAGTATGGTGCATCATTGTTTTGAATGATCATTGAAGCTTGAATGATTAACAGAGATTAATTGCAGATAAGTAATTTCACTGACAACTAGTCCATAAAGCAAACAACTAGCACCTTGTATAAAAAACGAGTAAAAGCATAAACCCCCACCCTAATGATCTGCCCCTCTTTGAAGGGCAGCTCCTCGTCAGCTGCATCCGGGTTGGGGGACATGGACAGAGGGTCGTAGTCAAAAAGGGCCACAAAGATCCTGAAGGACTCCTCGGGCTCGGACTCGTCGTAGTAGGTGGGAGAGCGGCGGTCCCGGTCCCTGTAGCCATCTTAAACACATTGAAGAAGAAAAAACTAATTCCAATTGCCCTGCATCGATGGAAAGAACAACCTAATAATGTGGTCCAACACACAAACAGGACATCTGAAGGAGGACTTGTTTCTTTGGGGAAATATTGAATATTTGCAAACGGGTTTTTGTCTTTGTCTTCTGTAAAAAATGTGAGCCTTTGGTTGTGATGTTTGGTCACAGATTTTCGGGCTCAGCAGCAAAACGTTAAAGCAATTGGTTGATGAAATGTACTGTTTCATACAGTATATAGTGCTTGTATGCTCAGCAAGTCCATACAGTATGTTTACACATTGATGTGTCTCAGACATGCTTCAAAGAAATCAATGAGAGGATATTTTCGGGGAGCTTAACACATCTCATTGATTTGCTGTGCTGCATGACAGATTTGATATTTCTGTCCAGCCATAATTGTGCCTGTCAGCATGCAGGAAAGAAATCAGTTGTCAGTCAACTAATTAAATAATTTGCCGAATAACACACACATGCACCAACAAATACACACACACATACGTACACACGAGCTCACATTACATGTCATTTCATGGTTTTGTCTACTTTTACATTTGAATTACTCATTGAAAGACAGACGAGGAGCAATACAGACCATGGTTGCAATACACAGAGAAGGTGATTCATGGACGTGGCACCACACCAGAAACACACAAGACTCAGACAAGACTCAGACATGCATGCTACAAGAAACAGAAAAGACAATGAGCCAAAAGACAAAGATTGAGCTCCATGTGTCTATTTTCACTTCCAAAAATCAAAATCAAAAACTTCCCACTCAATCGTAGCAGCAAAGGTCTCAATCAGAAATGGGTTGTTGTGGAAGTTTGCTATCCAAGTATTCTCACTTGCAAAAGCTTTTGTTTTGAAATGCGAGCATGATGGGAAGTCCACTGCTCCTTGCTGTAATTGTATTTATGCGACGTCACCATTTCAAACTCAAAAAACTCAAAAGACAAAAGAAAAACAAAGAAAGCAGTCGACGTCTACTCCTTATTCTCTGTCTGCCGCTAATATTTCTCCTACGTGTCATGCATGAATGCCCTCATTAAAAGGATGCTGTGGGTGTGGTTGTAACCACGAGGGGGAAAGGGGTTTAGCAGGCATCTGGAGTTCGGTGCAGTGAGTGAGGCATTCTCTGAGCAGTCAATCAATCATTTATCATCTGTGGGAAGGTTCATCCTGGAGCCCAGGTACTGGCTTGCCAGTGGGTCCACCATTTCAGTGCAGTGCAGTCATGCTGTTCAACTGTAAGCATAATAATATCTAGTATTATTTGAGACGGAGAAAACAGGCACTTGCAGGTGTCCACAGCTATTTTGTGCAGTTTTGCCAGTTGCTGGTGGCAGTTTTTTTTTTTTTTTTTTGTCGCCATGCTGTGGTGGTAGAAACAGGGACTGCAGGCACATACCATGGGGTGACCTGGTGCCGCCCATGTGCCTGCGGGAAGACCACGTCCTGTGCCGAGCTACTCTGCCATAGTAAACATCCTCGGTGACGGGGTTTGCCTCACTGCTATTCTCAAAGGTTACCTCTACAGGAAACACCAATTAGAGGGTGATGGGGTTACAATGCAAGGCTCAACATTCCCTTTCTTAAAGGTTAACTGAAGATTTGTGTTGCCACCTAAGGCGTCTCACTGCTTGGCACAAGTTAGAAACAAATACACAGGAGAACGGCTACAGCAAAAACTATCATGATTGGCAGAGTTTATCAGAGTGGATCAGCGTGTAGTGCAAATGTGCAATTTAAGGAAAAGTGTCAGTTTGTGGCATCGTAAAAACCTATGCAAGATGTTCAGGTAGTGAAGAGCATGAGCATGGTTCGTAGACACAGCGGTGATCCGGAGACACAGAAAAGCTCGTGATGGTTTTTAACAGAGCAACAAACATGTCTGTTCTACGGTCCCTCGCTCCGCTCTCTCTCTCTCTCTCTCTCTATCCACCCGGCCACACTGACCAATGGAGGGGACCATCAGAGGTCTTCTCTGAGGCTGGGGGCCGCCGGGATGGTTTCTTCTGCCCGGCTCCCGGTCGTGGCGGCCTCCAGCAGCGGCGCTGTTCTGAAACGCACAGAAGAAGTACAGAAAAAACATTCGCATAACGTGAAACATTCGCGAGCTGCTCGCGGACACGAGACTCACAAGGACGGCGCGTAGAAAGAGAAAAAAGCGCCATGTCGACATACGCGTACAAATTGTATGTAAACAAAGTCATGCAGCACTCACAGGCAGGCACACTGAAACACAGACGCGTAGACACACACTCACACACACACACACACACACACACACACACACACACAAGCCCAACATTCCAATATCAAGCAAATACTGATTAAAAAAACTGCAAAAAAATATCAAAGGAAAATAATTCTATCAAAGACATCAATTAGCAATTTTCTACCGTATGTTACTGTGTACAACACTAAACTGTTCACACCCAGTCTCTCCTTGTGTCTCTCTCCAAGGTGCGAGTCGCATTCACACCCAGTTTATTTTAGTCTCTCTCCATGAAGCTGAAACATTCAAACGCAGCTTCTTTCTCTCTGTTGCTCTCGTGCTGCAGCCTCGCAGACGCAGCTCCACGTCTCCTCCGGTCCAGCTAACAACCACCTTCTACCTTGTGCAATCTCAGAGCGAATTGTACTTATCTGTTTTTAATTCTTGCTGGTATATTTTAATTGTATTATATTGTATTATTATATTGCACCAGTTCAAGTCAAATGGAAATAAATGGCTTCTGATTCTGATTCTGAGAGGATTCTAGTTTTGATGAGCGGAGTATAATTGGGCCAGACTTGATAGTTAAATGTTCTAATATGTTGCTTCAGAAGGCTTTGTCCTCACTGTCGTGTGGAAAACGCTGCCCGAAAGTATTTAAACCTGCAGTTTCTCTCCATTGTGCTGAAAACTCATTTCTTTCTCTCTGTTCAAAAAAACATATTTGAACTGATCTCAGCACACACGCTAACAACACTTATTAAATGCATGTCAAGGCAGCAGTCTCAGTTGAAGTATCTGTGCCCGTGCAGTTCACTAAATAATAATAAATTTGGGTGGTTATGACTTTTGGGTTTAGAATAAGTGCAAAGAACTGCACCTTGGGTGTGTTGTGCGAGTTGCGTCGACGTCCCTCTTCCAGCTGCATCTCAGAGTACAGCTCCTCCTCATCCTCTTCCATGATGTCAGACAGGTCAGAGCCCCGGCTGCTTTCGCTGTGATAATCTTCATTGTGACTATAGTGAGGCTTTTGGCAGTCGCACACACACACAAACAAACACACACACGCAATTGTTTAAGTCCACATACATTCATACGTACATGCGCACACCAAACACACGTGGATGGGCAAACACACACACACACACACACATGTGAACACACACAGACTGGAGTGTATGCATGCGACCACCCAGACATGCATGCACGCACACACACACACACACACACGCACGCACACATCCGAAACAGACGCACAGAGGTTGTCCATTGAAAAACACATTAGGACAAAGTAAGGATTCATCGCTGTTCTTACCGGCCTCCCCAGCTCAGAGCCTCTGAGGAACTCGTCCACCGAGGGTCCTCTCCGACGGCCGTGCGCAAACCCTTCTTCGTCCTCCTCTTCCTCATCGGAATGATGCTGGTGAAATGAACGACCTTGCTCTCCAAATCTGGCCGGCCTCCTGTCCGCCTGAAAAAAACATGCATGAGAAGTGAGTGAGCGAGTAACGGACGCACAGGCTTAGCGGTGGTACTTCATTTTGACTAAATATACAGATATAATATATTATTAGATTTCTATATTCTCTTCATTTCCAGCTTATTTACGAGTTTTTTTACATTTACACAGTTTACTCGCATGCTGCGAGTTTCTGTTTCATTTCGGGAACCGTGCGGTTCCATTGACGCGAATGGATTTAGCGTTCCCATCAGACCTTGCCACTTTCCGCTGCCACCCTCTGCGCCGCTTCTCGGGCGATGGCTTTGGCCACGGTGTCCGGGATGAGCGTGCCTCGGGGCTGGGGGAGAATCCTCTGGGGGGAGGGGGAACGTGGATTGGCAGTGGGAGGGGCCTCGAGGGTGTGGCCGTGCATGGGCACGGACGGCTGGGAATTGGGAGAGCGTGTCGGGTCCCAGCCGGGCTGGCCGGGTGGAAAAGCTCCCCCGTGGTGGGCTGCGTGCTCTTTGGCATCCAGGTCTCGGGCACATACTGGTCTCTGAGGTAAAGGGTGGTGATGGGGGTGGGGTAGCAGAGGCAGCTGGTGCAGGGGCCTGGGACCTTGGTGCGGATGGCGGGGCTGGTGGTGTAGGGGCTGTGGCTGGGGCTGAGGATGCGGGGGTCGGTGCTGGGGTTGCGGGGGTCCACCCGGGTGGGGGAGTCTGAGGTGGGGTTGCGGGTGAGGAGGATGGGGCTGGGGTGGTTGTCCGTGAGCCTGATGTGGGGCAGGAAGTTGGGGTGTGGCGTGAGGGAGGTGAGGGGATTGGAGGTGGGGCTGGCCGTGGGGGTGTGGAGGGGGGCCCGCGTGGGGGTGCATGGGGGGTGGCAGGGGGATCGCAGGTAGAGGCACGAGGAGGTTGTTTGGAATGACGGCGACAAGGGAGTCCTGGGACTCTCCCTGAACTGACAGCGTCCTCACGATGACTTCCCGAGCCTCCAGGCACTGAATCCGCGTGAGCTCCACAGTGACGTAGTCGGCCATTGGGAACAACACTTCAGCAATCTGGATTCCGAAAGAGAAGATCATAAAACAGAAGCTTATAAAAAGATATAAAAAACGGTTAATATTCTCCTTTAAAATGTATCAATTTGAATAGCAATAAGTGAATAAGATATAAGGCCGGAAACACCCTGCTGTCCACGTTTCAACATAGTGGGTTGATTTAGTCCGGCAATCACCAGAGGGAGTGAGAGGCCTGCTCTGAACATGAATCACAAGTAGATGGCACTGTTGTGTATGCGGTCGGGCCACTGATGACATAATGCTAAACTCGACATCCGATTCTATTACCGCCCCATCTGCGGTGCATGTTCTCATGTTTCAACTGGATTAAATATGATTAAAACAACTCAATCAGTGTTTTACTGCAGCTGCGTATGGCTTGCAGGCTTTTGAAATATGGATCCCATATGCTTGGGAATTCTCCACAAACTGGTCCCTTGGTACTATTCAGGCTGCTGTGCAGTCACTTATCTTCCCGGTTATTATTACTGCTGCCTCAAACCTAGATGACCTCCTCTCCATCAGTCACCAATGCCTTTTAACAGGAGATCTAGTCTTGGTGGGTGATACCTGCTAACTCACCCTCTGTCCCTTAGTGCAGACTGCGTAGCCAACGACATTTGCCCCGTTAGATGTGCCTGTAGGAGAGAGCATGGGGGGCTTCCAGCGGACCTGTAGGACCCCTGGAGCCTGCCCACAGAGCACCTGTACATCCTGGGGAGGCTGAGGAGGGCCTGGGAGTACAGGAGAAAACAAGTTTAAAAGTTATGTCCTCATTAAATGTTTTATTATCACTAAGATATAAGAGGAAAGGGTGTGACGCATTCATTAAATGCACTAATTGGTGCAAACACAACCATGCTCAGTGGGGGTGAGGTGGGGGATCAAGGAACAAAAGAATGGGTTCATTTGTAATTCCACTTATCATATCTAGATTTTGTGAATGACAGAAACATGTTATTATACTTTGTAAATATTTACAAAGCTCATGCAGACAATGATAAAATGACTGTTGCTGTTTGTGTGCTGTGTTTATAAAAGGAATTAAATTGCTAATATTACTATAGAGACGTACAGTAATATTTTTTAACAGAAGGTACTCCAAAATCAAACTGAGATGTGAAGTAAAATCCTCTTTGTGCAGCAGTATTTCTTTGCTTTAACTCTGGTGTCATAAACTCATACTACTCTTTACGTGAAGGGAAATAATGAAGAGAAAATAAAAGGATGTGGGCCTTTGGGCCTCGCGAGAGAAGCGTTGTGGTCTCCGCATGCAGGACACAATGCAGAGAGGCTGCAGCTCGTTCTTGGACCACCACTCCCCTGGATAACGGGATAACACATGCACAACTGCAGTCGGGCAGAGGCCATCGCACACTCATACACAATGGACATTTCAGGGAGCAGCGGAGAGGCGCTGCTCTATATAGTGCTGGTTACTACAGGCCAGGCTATAGGCTGAGGAAATGACTCATCGGAGGAACAGCTGATCATATCGAGGGATGCGTGGCTGCTCTCTAATCAGCAATAAACTCAGTGAGCGATCTCGGGAGATTTAATTGGAATTTGACTTCCAAAATGAAAGTCTCAACGTATTTCGAAGGTGGCGATAACAAATACTTACACACAATACATTGTTTATAGATTTACAATATTTTTTATAAGTAATATTTTGTCCAAATCTCTTAATTTAACAATATATCATAATTATTATCAGTTCCATGACCATAAGCCTCTTCCGACAGTATCATAGCACGAATGTCATCTCTGCCCATTTGTTTTTACAATAGGAAAATGATTTGGGAAACCCAGCCCAGGGATGACGTTTCATTCTGACCTGTTCTGCAATATGCTGTTGGACCTAGACAAAATGCAATACACAACAACGGCATGGTAAGGCAAGGATGTACTGTACTCTTCTCTCAAAGTCATACGGCATTATGTCACAAATTAGAGTTGCTATTACAGTTAACCGACGTAAACAGAACTCCAGCCTTCCTATGTTTCAAATATAATAATTATTAAAAAGCATTGATAATGTGTCTGCATAGCGATGAGCTTTGCTGACCTGCAGCCTGAGTGCAGAACTCCACACCGGCTTCTTTCCTCTCCCTCTGCTCCAGCGGCAGTTGCCACGGCACCTGGTGCGGCTGCGCCACCACCGTCACTTTGTAAACCGTCAGGGGCTTCAGGTTGACGAAGCGTAGTCTGTACCTCCCCGGCTTCACCACCGCATGCTCCGCCCCGTCCAGGAACACGTTGTGACAATAGTTACTGTTGCTGGGCAACCAGGACAGCTCGGCAGTGTCGCGCTGGATGTCATCCACCCGGAGGCCGCACGGCGCGACCACCACGTTGGCCCCCACCAGCAAGGTGCAGCGCAGCTCATCCGACAGGCCGCGGTCCGTGACGCTCTGCACCGCCACGCGGTGGACGCCGCCGTCCAGGTCCAGCTTCTCCAGCAAACTCTTGGTCCTGCCGCCGTACGTCACGGTCGCGCGATGCTCCCCGTCCACTAACACGTTGTAGCCGGAGATGTTGCCCCAGCCCAAAGGCACTACGGGAGGCTCCCAGGCCACGATGACGCTGCGTGCCAGCTGCTTGATCAAGTTGATCTTTCGGGGATAAGGCACAACGTCTTCAGCCAGGTCCTCGGGGTCGAGCGGCCCCCCTGTCCCATTGCTGCAGGGAACCAAGGCGTTAGATGAGCAGCGCAAGAGGCCGTCCTGGGTGGCACCTCCATCCCCGGCCATCAAGGCCAGGGGCATGTGGTCTAGAGGGCCCGGGTCGTCGCCTCTCTCCCCCGACTCGATGGCCAGTTTTTCTTTGTCTTGGACAAATTCCACAAAATTGGAGGGAACAAGTCCTCGCTGGCCATCCAGCAGCTCCCCTGTGACACAGAAAGACCTTGTATGAATAACTTAACAAACTGCGGGACTCTACCTGTTCACGTTGATGAATAAAAGGCCTGATGATTCTTATGTCTTGTTTCTATAGGAAAAGCATGACAGTGATGCCAAATGCAAATGTTAAAAAAAAGGCTTATTCTTTCTTTACGAGAAAAATACACAAGGAAAGCTGTAACCTGAACACACTTAATCATCGGTGAGATATTTTTCCCTTGTGCGGTGGGAAAGAGTGAGTCAGTGAGCGGTTGGAGATATGTAAACATAAAGTATGTGCTATTCCTTAAGTAGATGCCAGATGAACTGATGCTCCAGCGCGACCTTTTGTAGTCTCTCCAGTGAACACAGAACTCAGAAAAACATTTTGAAGAATGTAAACTTTAGTTTAACGCTGTTGAGGGTGTATGCTGCAGTCAATGCAGGAGGAGAGTACAGCTAGCCCCCCCCCCCCTCCCCCGCCCCAAAGAGAAGGAGTTTGTCTTTAAAAAAACATCCCTATCATCTTGTCCTTCAATTCCTTTCTCCACAGAGGCCCTAAGACCATCTGCGGGCTTCTGTGTGTTCACTGTTCACTTCTGTGTGCTAACGAGCGCGTGTTTTGTTTGTGTGTGCTGATGACTAAACTGAGCCCGGCTGGATTAGTCATCGGGCTAAAAGGGACCAAGGTCCCATCTCGACAACAGCTTGGTCTGAGGCACACGTCTCCCTCCTGCGTGGTAAATACAAAGGCTCCCCCACGACACCATGCAATTTCTCCGCCCGCGGCTAATGAATCACTACAGCTGAGTACGACTGTGACTGCGGCGGCGGAGTGCGCCGACAGCAGGATTTCTAGTCGGGGGGATTAGGATTGCCGCTGACATAATTCTAAAAAGATTAGACGGCAAATCGCTTCAATCAAGAGTTACAAAAAGTTTACAGGGTGTGCGCTTGACTCTGTCGCAGAGCATATTTTCTCACCGGTGTAGACAAATTAAGATAAAGACACCTAGTGGGCACATGACTATCTTTAAAAGGAACAGGTTGAACAGCAGCTTTTAATTGCTTTAAAAGAGATTTAAAAGTGAGCTTCCAAAGCAAAATAAAGCTCAAAAACAGCACTATCATCCCAGCTCAAACTGAAGGTGGATCAGTCCAATGACCAAATTAATTAATTAATAATAAAAAATTGAAGCAAAATGAATGCTTCTACGAGAACCACGGCAACATGAGCCAAATACTGCACTGAAGTTTAGGTCACACGGTTAAAATGACCAGTATGACATGCACTGCATTGGTGGGGGTTAAATACTGCGACTGTCCTGAAACAATCGAGCAAAAGTGTTTACAGTGATGATCGCGTCAGCATTATAGTCCTTTCACATTAAGGTTGGATCATGATGTCATGTCAAAGTCAACAAGATATACTGTAGAGTGAACAGTAGGGAACACTATGGGTGTGTATATACACAGTATATATACAACAGATTCCGAGTCAGCTGACACACGCCGAGATAATCTATATGCGATGATGTGCACGCTTGTTGTGACTGTTGAGCATCTCTACTGCTGCACTTGCTGCTCACTTGAAAAACATCAAACTACTGTAATGTGATCTTTGATATATAAAGCTCAGTTCTATAAATAACCTTTTTTTTTTTAAATGATGTATGTTTGCTCTGAGCCTTGTTTCACGTCTCACCTTGGTAGAAGCCGTCATCGTCCATGTTTCCGTACACGTACAGATACTTCCCGGCCACAAGGGGGAGTTCTGCCTCCGGGTGCTCGTTGGGTCCATCGTACGGGTTGTAACTGAAAGGAGAGGGTTCCCTTTATTTTATGAGAGTAGCTTTTTTTACATTTAGATTTTTCTTTTTTAAAGACGCACTAAAATCAACAGATTCCTGAAGCTGATCTCATTCACCTGTATCGGGCAGTGCACAGGCGGACCTGGCCTGTGTAGCGAGCCTTGGACCTGGATGATGGGCTGGCCTCATCCTCCATCTATAGATGCAACGTAACCAGCCTTAAATCTCATCTCCTAACAGCGTACTATTAATAATTGGGATTCAACTATCTTGAAGGTAAGTTATATAAAGCACCTCTGAGGGGGTCCGCTGTCGAGGGTTGCTGGGGCGGTCCGTTGTCACGGTGCTGGATTTGACAGACGGCGGTCTCTTTCTGTTCCCAGTCTGTGGCGTGCAGGGCGTGAGCTGAGGGATCAGCAGAGGCGGGTTTGCCGCGCTCTCATCGCCTGGGAGACATTGATTTCCATAGCAAACAAAGAGCAACTGTCATTCCTCCTGCGCCAATTCGCTGCTCACTGTACAGTTATTGATCTCCCGTTGAAAGTGAGTGTACTGCAAACTCTCCACATGGCAAAGGCCGATCCACACCTCGCACCTGCAGTGCATTTGTCCTTAAATGCCACTGAGGTCCTTGCGTGTGGGGTGGAGGGTTTGGGGCACACACACACACACTTGAACAACTCCTCTCAAAATAGAAAAATGCAGCCTAAGAGTGTGAACAGCTGAATTCCTTGAGGAAATTAAAGTCAGGCAGCAACATGCGACAACGGTATCAGCAGAGTGAGTAATATTATGCATTATCCCCAAAGCATCAGTGAGTGGCCCCTGTGTTTCAAGTGAAGAGAAAGATAAAACAGGATTTCCAGCACTTCAAAGACCTCTGGTCTGTGCCAGGCTGTATAAATCTACATGGCTGATATGGCTCTATCTGCTGGCTGTGCAGGTTGCACTACGTGTCGTTAGAATACTAATGTGTTAAAACCATGTTCATGTCATGCGTCAGGCCTATGAGCAATTAGGGTAGATATTGATCGCGGGTGCAGTCCTTAATGGTGTCCACCTCTGGACTGAGCTGATCCAGCTGTTGTGTGAGCATCTGGGGATTAGATCGCTCTCGTTTCTCATTTCATTCTGATCACAGCCCCTTTGATCGCGTGTCATTTGGTGAATGCTTTTATCTAGAGTGCAGGCATTATTTTTTGGAATGGGTGGAGCTCAGTGGTAGTTTCAGTAACAGATTTAGCAATTTACCCCCATAAGACTGTCAAAGTCACCATGGACTGCTCTAAACCTGGTGTCTCAATACCGAATCTATCTGAGGTTTGGTTGTGAGTTGAGAGCCGCGACCCACCTGTCTTTGTCTGGACTTTAAATCCAAGGGCGACTCGGGAGAAGTTCTTCTCTGAGCAGCGAGAGATCCGGGGTGTGGGGGCGGGATTAATTTGAAGGATTTCCACAGTATCTGATCGCAAACGAAAATTCAGCAGCTCATCGGACAGCTGGTGGAAGTGTTCACTCTGTGACCGGCATTTCCGCTCCAGGTCACAAACCTTGACCTTTGAAAAACAACAAAACGGGGGGGGGTTTAATGGCCAAACGGACGAACAAGCCACAAGAGCGAGTGAGAGAGAGAAAGCAGGAGGGAAAAGGTGTAACATGAGGGGAAATACGCACACAATGCATGGGGTGTACGCCATCACGTCATCATGTAATGTTCAGATAGGAAACTCCCTGAAGAACGGCCAACGTTTCATCTGATCCAACAAAGACCCAATTAGAAAAGGATCCCCACAGAGCCGCGTTTCAGCATTTAACGGCCCGTTACAGTGGAACCACTGCACTCTGCATTGCTGCAGCTGCTGATACGCAACACTGTTAAACTCTGATAAGGAAGCCTAATTACTGCAAGAAGTTAAGAGGATCGTAACACTTTGTAGACATTAAGTGTGTCATATCATAAGTACATCAGAGGAAGTCAGGGAAGATGGGTGAGGTGTACACAACAAGTGTAGTAATACTCAGTTTTATGAAGCAAATCATGGAGGAAAATTGAATACCTGAAACATTCTGTCCTTAAATGTTCTGTTTAGACAAAAAGGGGGAGGAGGAAAAAAATTAAAGTAAAAGTGGTAAAGTAAAACAAAAAAGGCATAATGAGGATTGAACCAAACAATAATAGATTCATAGATATTACAATCAACGAAAGTAAACCGCAAAACAACGGTATATTTATCCTGGCTGATGAAAATACAAAAGCAACCTGAAGTCTAATTGAATGAAAACAAAAAAGACCATATATTCATGACAGTGGAAACAAGGGTTAGTTTTGTGTCTGAGCCGACGGACAGTCGAGCTGTTTTTCATTCCTGCTGAACTTATAATGAGAAACAGGCACGTGACAGAGACAAGCAGTCAATGGATTTGCCAGAAGACAAGTAAGTAATTCCACATTTAACCGACCGAACTCTTGATGTTTGTCTCAGACAAACTCTGCCTGCTTGCTCAGTAAAAACGCATCAAAGCACTTCAGGCGGATAATAACATGACCGCACTTGAACTACACGCAGAGGGAATCTTCACCCTATTGTCGCGACAAAAGGATTTAGAGTGAAATGAGAAAATATTTTTTGAGTAGATGAGCCAGTGACAAGCTTCTTACGTCTGATGAAACACGGCCGGTTGGTGATTTCATCACGCTGACAGTCAGTTTTCAAGGTCAGCCCGGTTGCAACTACTGCTAAAGTTTGGAAGACTATTTTACAAAAGCCACCTACAGGAAGCAAAAGGACGGTATAGAAATAGAGATGCCAACACATAAACTGAGCAGGGGATTATTTTCTTAAGGACAGTAAAAAGTAAAAAAAAAAAGCTTCTATGCTAAAATGAAATGCTTTGTTTTGTAGTGTTTCTACGTAGGACCCCTCGTAGTACCCTTCTGTCTCATTTCATCAGCTCTAAACAGATCCAAAGCATATTTCACGAGAGCAGCACTGCGGTAAGGTTGCAGCTCAAACAGGTACACCGCTTCCTCGTGCTTTGGGGCAGCTGCAGTAACCTAAGATGCAGTGAACGCGCAGAGACAGACCGTGGCAGCTGACACTGTGATGAAGGCCCGTGAGGTAGAACAGACAGCGCACAGCTGACATACTGTCAACCCGATAAACTGGTTGATCACAGCCCTGGTAATTGAGGAGATGCCTCCTCCTGATGGCTCTGATGAGGAGTAACAGATTTATTTTAGTGTGCAAGGAGCGGCTGCTATAGCAGTGAGTGTTGTCTTTTTAGCTTTTTGTTTTATCTTTGTATGGTGTGTAAAAACTGTGACTATTCTGTCAAGAGAACAAAAATAACAACCTAACAATACAAATCTAATTCTTTACAGCTACATATTTGTTTTTAAGAACTGAAATTTTAGGCTCCACATTGTTGAACATAAGGGTGACTGAGCGCATTTAAGGCATGATTAATTCCAAATTCAAGACAGATTAAACATCGTAGAACAGGTCTATCAAAAGCCCTAGTAATTTAAATTCATATCTGGAGTTACGTTTCTAAGCAAAGTAAGAATGTATCCCAGTATAAAACATGAAAGACATCAACTGGGTGTCGTCAGGGCTTTGTCACACGATTAAACAACATGAAAAGTGTTGGAAGCTTAAACCGCATTTTCGTAAATAAATCTGCGGATCTTTACTTGACAGGTTTCTGTGGTCTTTTATCTTTTCTGATACAGTAGCAGCGATTCCAACCACAGTGATTCGGCACTAAAGTGACTCATCGGCTGCTGAACAAGGAGCCTCACTTCGTTGCTGCTCTTATCGCAAAATCAATTACAACGGAGCATAATGTCCAAAAGCATGAAAAGAGGAAGCGCTTTTAATGAAGAATTGTGTACTTTTTTTTTTAACCTTTTGCAGTTGATTGTCCTCCTTCTGCTTGGGGTGGAGGGCCACCAACGCTCGCTCATGCTCTATCTGCAGCTGCTGCTTCAGCTCGACAGCCGTGTGCATATGCTGGAGAAACAGAGAGGGGAAGTGGTCATGTTCAACATACATTGATAAAATATAATGCAATGTAACTATTTATTTTAATGGAAGATTTTTTTTTGCAACCCCCGTGTGAGGACAAAGCGAATCAAATGCGACCGGCCGTGTACTCCGGACTGACTCAGACGAAGCTGTCCACGCCGATCCTAAATTGATCCCTTTCTCAAAATTAGCCGAGTCATAACTAAACAGCGTCCATCCGTGGAGTCTTACAGAAACAGAGATAAGGCTGTGAGATGTTTCCACGGCTTAAGAACAAAAGACGGCCTGAAAAGCTCTGACATTCATCATTTTCTCTCTGTGTTCTCTCTCTCGTGAAAAAAAAAAGAAAAGCCTCTTTACCTCCCCGAGTGGCTTCGAGGTGTCCTGAGCAGGCAGCGACTTCTTTGCATAATCGGGGAGAGGCTCAGAGCTGCAGAGGATTGGGCCGGCTCAGAGGCTGCCACTGGGGCCTTAGTGGAAACTACTTTTTATAACTCGCCATCGGTGAAGCCATCTACTTTTCAAGCAAACACTCTTTGAACCAGTCTGCAGCTCAGGCCCTTAAGACTCCATCCAGCCGTTCTTATTTGGGGGTCTGTGGCTCCTATCAGGACCCTGATGAAACGAGTTGGGCTATGACGTTGTTCTAGGCAAAGTCACTTGTGATGTCTCAGACTCAAAGGGAAGCTCCACCCAAGTTGAAGGATATTAACGGGTTTTTAAATGAGACAATAAAGTTGAAAAAATCCTCTTGCGGCACCCAGGAGAAGGAGCTGCGCTTGGTCTGATGAATGAAGTTGTGTTTTAGGACCACTGGAGCCGTCTCCTCCTCTCTGGCTGGTGACTCAAAGCTACATTCGCCACCACTAATCATATGGACGGACTGTCCTCTTCACTTACAATTGTATTTAAATTGTCCTTTAGACCTTCAGCATGAGAGAGAGCTGTTGTACATTCTTAAAAAAGCTAATGCTAAAAGCTAATGAAAAGAATTCCTCCGTTATCCGATTAAATAACTTTAAAGCCTAGATCGACAGTGCCGTATGTCGTTATCTTTGACTGAAGAAGTCTGGCATCTTTCCCGATCTTTCCCCATCTCCACCCACATTGCCCCATGTCATTTTTCTCTGAACAGTACCTTTGTCTGCTTAATCAATACACAATGAGAAAGTGACAAAGCTTTCTTTGCTGTACAAGAGAGCAGGTCAGTTTTTTTCAGACGGGTACATTTCTCTCTGAAATATACTGACAAACAGACAATTGATAGCAGATACGAGGAGGCGAAGATTCGTAATGAGAGTTCCTCTCGCTGCGCTGGGAGGCTGCGTCTGATTACTATCGGCAGACTATAAACCGGGAGGGGAAAAAAAAAGAGCTTCTCCGTGAATCCGATGACACTTCACCTCATGAGGTGTAATCGCCGTCCTTCCAAAGCTTTCTTAGAAAACAAACACATGGAAGATTTGGACATTTCACAAATAGGCAGCAAAGAAATTGCAGGAAAAAACTCCAAATCGGAGGAGTGGTGAGAGCTGAACCGAACCACCGGGGGGGGGATGAGCGAGCGCAGATACGAATGGTAAAATAAAGGAGGATAAGCGGTTTAAACGTGGCTCCCGTCATTCTTTTGCTTTTCCTACTTATCAGTAAGAGGTGTTCAGGGTTTGCTTTAGAGACACATCGCTCACTAGTCTTCTCCACAAGAATGGGAGAAACTACAGCAGGTTTATGATATTGACCCTTGAACTAACTTTTTATCAATTTTTATTGAATAATTTTTTTTTTATTGGATCTATAACCAAAGGCGATGAAATGTGGGGAGAGATAGGAAATGCCTTATATATAAAAAATGTGAAATTGTAATTGTCCGTTCAATCCAAGGGTTAATTACTGACACAATTTTGGAGTACTCCCGTATTTTTTTGAGGCGATTCAGTAATATTGAGATGCGAAAATGTTGTTTTTAAGTGAGGTAATTTTATGCATGACTGGTCATAAAACGAAATGAATTAACAATTCTAAAAGGTTTAAATTACGCACACAGCAGAATGCGGGTGGAGGGAGACACATTGAAATAGAGAAACGAGGATCCGTGGTTCCGAAAAGCAGATTACTGACGTTTGTATTCAGGGCGATATGGGATGAAAGTAAACAACACCTTTAGAACCCGTCCCAGGTTGTCCACGTTGTGTCCACGTTGTGTCCACGTTGTCTCTGCTGGCTCACTACAGCAAAGCTCTGCCTCAGCTGCTCATAGTCGGATCGCACCTGCACGCCAAGAAAAAGAGCAACGGGAAGATTATGAGGATTATGAAGAACGGGGATGTGAAAGAAAGAGGTCAGCGGAGACACGGGTAAACAGAAGAACAACAAAGCGAGGGGGAACACTTTCATTTCGTCCCTGTTTTTTTTTACTTGAGAGTAAATGTGGCCTTTTTCAATTTTTTCAAAGAGCAAAAGAAACATGCAATTTTTATGAGGTTTGTTCTCGCATTGTGCCGACTTTTTACATTCATGAATAGTGGCTTTTCTTTTCTTGCTGGAGGCTTGATTGGAAGTTCACAGTCTGAAGAGAAATTAATCAGCACATTTCAATTTAGCCTTGATGAGACAGAGCTGCTGACTTAAGCGTTCTGCCTCTCGCTCCTTCATCAGTCAGAGGCCTTGAGTCAAGCTGGTTCCTCTCAAGGTGGCCTCATAAGACCGGGCAAAACCATCCCTCAGCCGTCCAACAATCATCTCATTAACTAGCAAAAGAGATGAGGGTACAATACAGAAGCTTGCGTGCTCATTGTGCACAAAACTACACCAAAGCGAAGGAGTTCGTTCCATTTATTTGAGATAAAACACGTCGCACAAGGAGCAAAATCATCATTTTTCTATGTACATAAAGATGATTAAAATTAGGTAAGTAAAAACAACCTTAACATCTGAAAGCTAATAGTAGCGTAGAACAGAGAAAGATATCAAATAAATAGTGAAAGACAGTGGTCTGGTAATAAAACCATTTGTTTTACCATTTCCCAAAAATACAAGTCTAATCCAATACATATTTGACAAATATTTTGTCCTGTTCACAACGAAAATGACTAATTGTCAAGGTAAACGCACAGCACCCTGACTCTCCATAGGCAATTCTATAAGGGTGGAAACAACAACTTGAACGTTAATCCAACACAAGCCCACTGTGATCTTTAGTCAATACATTTCCTTTTGAAGCTGTCAGAGATACATATGAAAAATAGCCCCTACAGAGACTGCAATTTCTTTTCTGTGATTACTTTCTCTTATAATATTTCCCCTCTTCCGTTCTTTCATTTCCTTCATTTCCGCCTCACGCTCCGTCCACCACAGGCTGCCAGGTCGGGTCTCACAAACCAGTCGCGTCTCATTCATACTGTATATACGTGGCGGGACAAGACACGCTTCCTTTTCATCTCTGTGCCCACCTTGTCTGTGCACAGATGGCATCTTTTTGTGCGACACAGTGGAGCACAAGCTCCGAGCTTAGTCCCTGGGCACGTGTCAAATCTGCCCCCTCTGTGAAAGTCACCATTAGCGCCAGAGTGGCTAATCGCCTACCATCACAGACTGTCTCCATCTGGGTCTGTGTGTGTGTGTGTGTGTGTGTGTGTGTGTGTGTGTGTGTGTGAGTGTGTGTGTGTGTGTGTTTATGCGTGCATGTGTGAAGTGGGAGACTCTGGCTGACGGTGCCAGTGAGGACACGGTGATGGAAAAGGAAACGTAGCGATGATGTGTATGTTAAAGACGGAAGACGTGACGGTGCACTCGTGGGTGAGGAAGTAATGCTACACGCGCATGATGGTGACAAGAAAAGAAAAGAAAAAATGAAAGTCTATTGATGTGCAGAGACGGATCACAGACAGCAACATATGACTGATGTTGCAGCCATTTATAACACCTTGTGCTTGAGTTACGTAGCAGCTAGTGTACATCACTGGTGTGGTGTACAGTAGATGTTACCATTGATCACGGCCTGGTGTGTGTGTGTGTGTGTGTGTGTGTGTGTACTCTGCCCGTATGGTGGCGTACCTGGTCATACTCGCTTGTCTACAGGTTCCGGTTAATCGGCTCAAGGTTCAGACGATGTTTCTCCTGCAAGGCAGCGTGGAGCTTTGCCCTCTAAACAAACAAGAGACACAAAAGGGAGTTCAGTGTGTCGTTACATCTGTGACGCATCCTCTCGCTCCCTGCAAAGACTTTCATTTCTGACGGCATCACGTATGCAAGCCAACCAGCGCAACTCCGTCTTAAAACTATTATATAAAGACCGAGGAAATACGCAAGTTAGGGTTGATCCCTCCCCTCCCTCTGTACGCATATGTGTGTGTGTGGGGGGGGGGGCTAAGCTTTTATCTAAGATGCTCTCTGGAGAAAAAAAAAACCCACAGCTGCACACTGTCACTCTCCATTTGGTGTACAGCATTGGGAAGGGGGCGAGGCACAGGAGGGAGGAGAGAGAGAGCGATGGAGAAGAAGTTGAGGGAGAAATTTCCAGGAAACAGACAAATGAGCTGGAGTGAACAAAAGAGGGAGTGCTCGATATGTCAGCTGAATGCTGAATAAGCGAACGAGCGCTTTAATGCGAGTCAAAAATGTGACGAGCTCAAGACGAGATTAAGTTGCATGCCACGTGCAAGAAATGTCTCCTCTCTGCAGCCTCTGCCGCTCAGATGCACATTCAGAAGTTGTCATGCTGCTGGTGCTGCAGGTACTCGAGCATTACATAATTACGGCAGACTCAAAGTAGGGCATCGCTCTCCTCCTATCGCAGCGCTGAGCATCTAAGAGACTGGTCATACCCTGGCGCATAACACCACTTCGAGGTGGCGCACTGAGCTCATACTGTTGATTGTCATTCTCAGCATCCCCACAAGTCATTTATAAAAGCACAAGCACTTTATACAAAAAAGCTTGGAAAGCAGCTTGTAATTTCGTTGTACGTCTGGCACGTTATAAGGGTGGCTTTCAAGACCAACGGGGTTTTTTAATGTTTTATAACTCAAAATATACATCTTATAGTCTCTAAAATAGGGTTTAATCCAATTGCCGTGCCAAGTGTCATAAAAAAAAAAAACACCCGACTGGCAAGATGCATTCTAGCTCCATAAAGCACAGCTGATGGTGTCGTTTCAGTCCCACGAGGATGCAAACACTGCGATGCACCTCACACACATGTGGTGTGCTACGATATGCTCACGCAAAAGAGGAGTTCAGACACTGTACAGTACGTCCGCTGCTGCGCAAGACAAGAAGCTTTATGATCAAATTTATCAGGACAAATGAAGAAACTCAATAAACCCCCTTGCCAAGAGGAGAAGGGAGGGGCAAAAAAAAACAGAGAAGAGAAGCGAGGGGCCAGCCAGGTTCACCCTTCTCTTTGTGTGCAGGCAGGCAGAGGGACGGAGGACGACACCGAGAGACACAGATAGAGAACAAACAAAGGACGAGAGGCGACACAGAGACGAGTTCACACCCTGCTCGCATTGTGTAACGCTACCTGCGCATCACATCAGCGCAGCGCACAGAGCTGCAGCAATTGTATCAAACCGCACCGGCCTGAAACAGTCTGGTTCCTTCTGTCTTTGATTGGTGATTACGGAAGACGTGAGACGTCGCGAGGTGCCAGCTGCAGCCGCCCTCTGCGCCAACACTACGGGACGTGGCCTCGTTTTTGACAGCAGAGCGAAACATGGATGTGAAGACAACTGGAAGTGATGGACGGCTTGGGTTAAGACAGTTTGAGCAGAGGGATGTTTAAATTTTCACTTAAGGCTGCCGTGGTAACAAAAAGAGAGGAAGACAAATAGAAAAATAAAAAAGAATGACCTTTCAAAAGCTCCTTTTAATGGGCCCGAGGAATGATGTCTGCGTCTCCGCTTCCTCCCACTTCCAGTGAATCACACGTTCACAGCTCTGCTTAACACTTTGCAACCTCTTGTAAACACACCGCTACACTGCTAAGTCAAGGGACACGCACACAGATTCCTGCGACAATTCCAACCATCAACATGCACAAATAAACAGAAAAATCTGTTTGGAATATATAAATGAATTGATAAATACACCTTCTCTGAAGGACTGAACTCTTTAAAAGGGGATTAAAAGCACTCCCGAGGACATCTATGCACATAAAGTGTGGTGTGCGCGTGAATCTGTGTGTGGTTGTGAAATTTGAGAGCCATATGTGTGTGTAGAAGGAATGGACACGCTAGGAGGAGAGACCTCAACGCCACTAATGACTAATTCACTTGGACTTCTTCTTTCCTCTTCTGTCTTTTCTCTCAGTCTAGCTCCCGTCTCCAACACACACACACACACACAGTTTCCCTTTTCCATCACCACCATGATTATCATCCTCTACTAAAACCCACTAATTTAGCTGCTGGCTCTCAATCTGCTGGATTCAATGTGGCCTCTCACTGAGCTTCTAAAGTACCAGAATCTAATCTGCAGAGATTCCCAGATCTCAATTTCTCAACATCAGTGCGTTAGGAGTATTAGTTTGTACCATTTTGGAGAATGAAATTGGTAAGCTTACAATAACAGTATTGCTCACTATGTTCCAGGGAAAAGTAACTGTCTGGATCTCAGAAAGCTTTAACGGAATAGTTACATCTCTTCATTCACTTATCAGCTATCAACTATCAGCTATCACTCAATTTTCTTGATGAGAGTTAAATAAGCAGATTAATACCACACGATAAATAAAGCTACGACCAGGAGTTAGCTTAGCTTAGCATAATATAAAGACTGGAAACGTGCAGAAATAGCTAGCCAACCAGGCTGCACAAAACGTACTTTATTTTACACTGACACACACGTGGTTGTGATCATGTGATCATGTCATGCTGAGGGGAAAGGTTCCGAGCTGCACTATTTAACAATATAGACAATTAAGGCATTTAATAAAGAGCACGTCCAACTTTATTTAACAAAATTTACTGCCGTCCTCATTGCTGTTTTTGTTTTTCTTGAACACATTGTATATTTCCATGCAGGCTTGAGAAATATTTAAGGAAATGTTAATGCGTTTGAATTGCCGATGTGCCACTTAAGAATTAAAAAGCAATTAATGGAATTTAATTGCAACATTCAAATATTTTCTCTTGCATAGCCACAGAAAATTACACGGACAGGCTCTTGGATTTGCTATATTTGTTTAAGTAATTGCAGTTTTTAATTTCTACTGCTGACTCTAAATGGGATTTTTTATTTTTTTTTATTTGAGGGTAGATGATTGCTGCTGCTCTCCCTTAACTCCCAGGGGGATTGTCATTAATCAGATGTCACGGGGAAACACTTTGTTCCACTTAACCGTGGGCGGAAAGACACCGACGACGTCAGTTGTCTTCAGTGGGAGCAGAGGAGAAGTAGTGTGGTTGGAGAATGGGCCGATGGAGTCACAGCCATGACGGTTGCTCCACCACTGATAGCTGCTGCAACATCAGCTGCCCGTTCAGAACCGTGGACAGCTCCCACAGCGCTGGGCCCTTCTTAACTGTTGTGGATCCGTGTAGGAAAAGCTGGTGTATTCACACGTAAAACATTTAAATCACGTTGACGGACATAATTAAGGAACATGAACCATATTGACTTTTCTTTTCAAAACCAATTAAATAAACACTATTAACACTGCGATGCTATGTTGTTAAGAATGGACCGGATATTGTTTGCAGCGTTGAGCCATCGCATATGACATCCATAGTTTAACCGGGGCTGCGGTGCTGGAGGATTACAGCAAGTGGTGCTGGAAATAGAAGGGATGGTGTTAGCTCAAGTGATTGGGCACCAAAAGACACTGCCATGCCAACAGTTTCCCATTATTCCGGCTGATCCACACTTGGAAGCGCTAAAGTGAGAAAAAGAGTGCCACCACGCCATCAGAGGTCGCAGAGAAGAAGACATCCAGACTGGCAAATGCAATATTGAAATATCCAAAAGATCAACTCTGTTTCGTCGATGAAGGAGATGCATGAAGACATTTGTTCGACTTCAAGGGTACATGCAAATACATTGGTGAGCGTCTTAACTTGCAGAGAATTGAGCTTCTGTCCATTATCATGAGGTAATGTGTGTTGCACTATAAGGTATTTATACAATAATGACAACTTTGGAACCACGTAGCTGTAGAATCACAAGTATTATTTCACAATAATGGATCACCGACCTTGAAGCATTGTTCAAGATATAGCCATACTAAAATAAGGAAGTGGTCGTGACAACGAGGGACATTTGGCAGATTTATTATGTAGAATTAGCAAGGTCTTGACTGCAGCATAAAAGAGGATGTACAACACAGAGTTTGTCCTCTGAAGGCCTCCTTTTCATAAGAGACTTCTACCCCACGTAACATTCAGGTAAAATCTGCTTCTTCTTCTTCTTCTTCTGCAGACTACAGAAAATTGTTACAATGCAAAATACTGTGTCATTGATACAGTACATTCAGTACATTCCCAGAGCAGTGATTTCCTTTGACCTTTAAGTCACGTAGAGTTCATGCGTGCCCTCTTATTTGGAATGCAACCTTTGGCATTCCTCATCTATTGCTTATAATGAAGAGCGGTGGATGTTGCCATCAACACCGCACCTCAGTGAGTGATGTTGCCATAATGCCACCGATCAAACCTTTGTGTCTATTTTAACTTCTGTTCTGTCTCAACAGGTGCCTCATTCAGAAAACATAAATGTGTGTGTGGCAAATCTGTGTGTGTGTGTGTGTGTGTGTGTGTGTGTGTGTGTGTGTGTGTGTGTGTGTGTGTGTGTGTGTGTGTGTGTGTGTGTGTGTGTGTGTGTGTGCGTGTGTACACATAACTGTCAGCGCCAGGATACCAAGAGGGTAGTGTTGTGTGGCTTTAACCATAGAAATGAAAAAAGAGACATTTCCATTGTAATCTACGTAGCAGGCTGGTAAGAGCAGCTGCGTGTTGTATGAGCACCGCCGACATTTCGACGATCGTAGTGAGCGAGCTCCCCTGTAAACTAAAACGACTTACGGAAAGTCACAGACTCACTGTGTGAGGATTTGCATTAACGGCTTAAACGTGGAGTGGAGCCGAAACGTTATGAAGCACATAGTCAGTCAGAGTAAATGAGGGAAATGGAACAACTCAGTACTTAAC